TGCAGCCAGGGGCAAAAAGACCCAGGTGGTGTAATGCGAGCCGCCTGTCTTTATTATAATGGAAGGTCCTATGATTGCCACACCCTCTATGGCAGCTAAATCAACAGGAGATTCCAGCAGTGGGAACTCCAAATAATGCGAATCTCTTCCTGAGTTTCGACCTCCACCAAGTGACCCACAAAAGCGCCCTCAGCTGCCCGTTGAGAGCATCAGGCCACGGTGGCCTGGAGAGCCTTCACGTAACATGAGCAGATACTGTGCTCTTTGCACGTTGGAGATTTGTGGCAACGGTGCACGGAGCAAGACTCCACCGTGCCACCGGCATCTGCTGGCATCTGCTAACTTCGTGTCTCTGCATCATGTTTTGGTCATTCCCACAAGATTTCAAACTTTTCCATTATTGTTCTATTTGCTGTGGTGATCTGTGGTCAGTGATCTTTGACATCACTACTGAAAATGTTTTGGGGCGCCACAAGTCACATCCGTGTAAGACAGAGAACTTAAAACACGTTTCTTTAGACATAATGTCTTTGCACTTAATAGATTACAGCAGGGGTCCTCAAACTCTTTAAACAGGGGGCCAGTTCACTGTCCCTCAGACTGTTGCGGAGGGCGGACTATAGTTTGAAAAAAATATGAACGAATTCCTAGGCCGACCGCACCTTAAAACAATTAAAATTAATTAAAAATTAATTAAAGTAAAAATTAAAAAGATGTTTGCTCTGCTCCCTCAGGCTGCAGCAGAAGCCCAAGATGAGGTGGGGAAGAGCATGTCCATATTCGAGGGACAGAGCTACAACACAACCAAGGCACCAAATATGGTATTTTTGCATAATGCAGCTGATGACTGCAACTGGCATTTACAAAGAATGAAGCAAAAATACTAAGGATAAATATTGCTAATGCCACTCTTAATATTGGAAGCAAGTCAGCCCAGAACAATTCCCACAATACACAATGGCTGTATTTGGCTGCAGAGCTAATGACTCTCATATTTCAAGTGCAACCTTGCCAAAACTGGCACTGCCCAGGTGAGTTGGATTGCAACTTTCATTGGCCAAGCTGGTTGGGCATGATGAAAATTATTTATTTATTTAAACGACTTATAACAATTATAGTCCTCGCCACCGCCCCGCTTCCGAGGGAGCGGAAGGCTGGAGAGGCGAGGGTGGGGCGGCTCCCCCAGCCAGGAGGAGGGCGGGAGAGGCTGCTTTCCGAGGCAAGGGGAGGCGAGGGACCGGGACGCAGCCGGCCGAGCAGGGCGCCTCCCAGTTCTCCCCACCGCAGGGGGAAGAAGCATGGCAGCCACTCGAGGATGGCAGCGGCTTGCCCAGAGAAGGCCGTGGAGGAGGCGCAGGAGCTGCAGCCCCGCTCCACCTCAGCCTGTCCACCCCCAGGCTCGGCGAGGCAGCCGCAGCTTGGCCCGCAGACTAGGGAAGTGGCTCACATAATTAAAAATAGATTTAGAAAGTTGTATTTTTCTTACCTTCAATCCTTTTTTAGTGTCTTCGTCATTCTCCCTTTCTCTTCTGCCCTCCTCTCTTCTCTTTCCCACTCTGTATTCAGTGAGCGCATGCATGCAATAGGGGGAAGAGCCGGCACACACGCAGTTGAAGGGAGCTGTCACAATTTGGCGTGTGCGCCGGCTCTCTACTCAGTTTCAGAGAATGCCTACACCGGCTCAGAGTTTTTGGACTCACTACGCCATAGGCTGGGTAAATGACCATGGCCCATGGGCTGTAGTTCGAGGACCCATGAACTACAGTATAGGTAAACATTACTTTTATAAGAGCTGGGAAACCAAAAACTGTGTGTGACTCACTTTATTGCAACGGTCTGGAACCGAGACCGGAATCTTTCCGAGGTGTGCCTGTACCTGGTATGCTTCAGGTAGTTCTCAGGGCACCATGAAAGAGAGTGGACACAAAACTCACGCGCCTCCTCCAGCACTTCCCTCCCAATCTGAACAGTCCACCAAGTCCCTCCTTCAAGGTGGGTGCCTCCACAGACACACAGGTAAAGGGAGGACATTGCACCTCCCTGTACATCCAACACCTCCCTCTGACTTCATGTCCCTGCCCCTCCTCCTCCTCCTCGTTAGAAGCTTGCATCCGCCTGGGTCCAGGGGGCCCAGTGTGCCTGGAACCCCCCTTTCCGTCCCTGCTGTTCCCCTGGGTCTTCTGCTCTCACCTTCCACTGCCCCTTCTCTGTGTGACAAGTTCCCCTGTCTTCTTGGGGTGCATGTGTTGAACTTTAATTCCCGTCATCCCCTGAGTTGTAGCATGACACAACTGCACCGGGTTGGGACAGCTGCAGTAGTCCGACTGCAGAAGCCAATTCCAGTGGCTCAGGACCTTCTTCCTTAGCTGAGATTTCAGCAAGAAAGGCAGAATGGCCAATCTGTGATTTCCACCTATAGTAGCCACAGAATAGGGCCCCTTGGCTCTGCCTAGCCAGTCTCCCTCAAGTAGATCCCTCCAGAGCCTTTTCAGGGATGGCTAGGAAACATCACACAGACACTGAGCAGCGATCTTCCCGTAAAGCACAGGATAACTTGCACAGAGGTCTGCTCATCTGCATAATAAAGCACCACCCAAATGCAAATCTGCTCCTTACATAGTAGTCCAAAATCTGTATTGGGCCATCCCTTTCTGAGGCCAACCAAAATATGGCAGAAATATTAAAAATATGTTGCTTTTGGCCATCACAGCTGTTTTCTTCCTACCAATGGAGCTCTTAGAATGATAATGCAAAGCCTGGTTTCACTATGGGGTGACTACCCCATAAATTGTCCAAACTTCCTACGGGAATGGGAAACCACCTTTTGGTTAACTGAGATCTTTCTACTTGCCCCAGAGAGAACAGGTAGCAGCCTCGGCAAGCAGAAATTGCAACCAGCCTGTCAGAAAATACTGCTCAGCTTTTGCTGCCATGGAATAGGTTCCAGTGAAGCAGCCATTTCAGACCAGCAGGCCGTCCAGACCCAAACGGAGCGAGTTTCCGTATTCCAAAGGCCAAGAGGGTAGCAACAAGGGAAAGGGCTTTCTTTGTGGTGGCTCCCAGTCTCAGGAACAGCCTCCCCACGGTGGACGGCCTGGCCCCAAATTTGTCAGACCCTTTGAAGATGTATTTGAATTCCCAGGGGGCTGAGGGAGCCATTGCTTTCCGGGAGCCATTCTTTCCTGTTCGCTTTAGCTGTTGGAAAGTTATTTTTGTTACATTTTATTGTCTTCTTTTTAAGGATGGTTGAAAGCGATCCAGTCTGCTCGGCTAAGGGACAGTATAGCAATGTAATGAACAGCAACAGTAACTCTCTGCGGTGGCTCCCTGATTGTGGAATCCGCTCCCTGGGAAGGTTCGCCTGGCACCGTCATTTTATTCTTTTTGTCGCCAGGCTAAAACCCCTTTTTATTTTCCCAATGTTTTAAGATCCGATTGTTTTAACTGGGGTTTTATTGTCAGCTGAATTTTTAGGACACTGTGTTTTATTTTACATTTCGTATTGTTGAACTGTTCCAAGACTTCAGAAAGGGACAGTCTAGAAAAGCTTTAAATAAATAAATAAATCACTATAGCCCTCAAGATTGGTGAGTTTGCAATCCTAGGCATGTTTAGGCAGGAACAGACAGTCCTGCAACTCCAACATGGTGGCTGGAGGCATGCTAGGAACGGTAAGGTGTTTTTTCTCCCTAAACGAACATAGGATCGTGCCCCGCATGTTCAGAAGAAAACAACTAGAAGACAATCCAGCCATCCAAAAATGCTGCCCATGAGAGTTCTCTTGCCTCAGGCTAAGGAGGAAGGGAAACTCCCAGGTGAACATGCTGGGAAGACAGCCCTGCTTCCCACAGCAGGAAGGGAGAGGCCTCCAAGCCCACTAGAGGTGCCGTCCAGTCCTCGGGAGCCCTGCAGCGTGGCCAGGATGGCTGAGAACCGGGGACTGGAGGCCAGTGCATCTGAAGGGCATCGCCTGGGCTATGCTCAGTTCTCATGTGCGCTACAGCCTGGACCCAGCCAGAGCCCGCGACTGACGCTGGAGATGCAGGCACGAGTGTTAACACAGCCCGGGACTCGGAAGTGTTGTGCCTTCACTAGGGCAACGCGTCCCTTTCTTTGTCCTGCTTTCGTCCTGCAAGGAACCCCAAGGCCACCCGTATAATCCTCCTCACCATTTTACCTTCAGAACTGCCCTGCGGGGTAGGTCATGCTGAGAGTCCGCAACTGGCTCCAAGTTACCACCCCCCCCCCAGCTTCACGGCCGCGTGGGGACTAGAACGTGGCCCTTCCCAGTCCAGCATGCTAACCACTAGGCTTCACGGGCACCCCCAGTGGGAACGATTACACCGACAGAGGCAGCAGGGAGGGAGGCCAGGGCGTGCTCGGGGGCGCCCCCCCCAACCCCCAGGCTGCAGAAATGCAGTTCTGCGGACGCAATCGCGGCCACCCTTCCTCGCGCCGCTCCCCCCACACCCCCGCCGTTCCCACGGCCCGGTTCAGCAAGGTCTTCTCGAGCCCAGCGGGTGGATTTCGGCTGCTGAGGTCGCGCTGGCTCCCGGAACTTCCTCCGCGTTTCCCCGCAGCCTCCTTGGGGTTTTGTGTCCCACCTGGGTATCCGCGGCCATCTCCGTGTGCCACGCGCCCGGGGAAGCGCCTCGCGACACGGCGGACCCCCGACAGCCCCGGATCGCCCCCGGTGCGGAGCCTCGCCCCCCGCCCCGCGTTTGGAGCCCCGCGTCCTGCCCGCAGCCGGTGCCCCTCCAGGCGGCGGCGTGTGCGCAGCTGCGCCCTTACGCAAACGCGGCGGGGTCTCCAAGCGGGCGCGGTGCTGGGCAATGGCTCCGAGGCTATTTTTAGCAAATTTCCCACAAGCCCGGCCTGGAAGAGGAGGAGGAGGAGGAGGAGGGCGGAGGGAAAACGCGGCGGCGGCGGAGCAGGCGATGGTGGGGTGACTGGGCACGCTCCCCGCCGCAGCCTGCCTGCCTGCCTGCCTGCCTGTTCGGGTCACCGCCCCGTCCCGGCAAAGATGCTCCGTCGGTGAGAGGCGGCGGAGAGCATGGAGGACGACCTGGCTTCCGAGGACGATACGCGTAAGAGGGGGGAGCCCGCCCACGGAGGACAGGGAGGGGTGGGAAGACCCCCCCCCCCCGGGAGCTGCGCTGGGGCGCGTTCCCGGCGCCTGCCAAGTCTGCCCCGAGGCGCTTCCAGTCCGCGGTGTGCGCGTGGGCAGATCGGGGCTTCCCTCGGCTTCGCCGGGAGCCTCGCTCGTGCCCGAGGCTTCCCGTGGGGGCGAGGGGTGTATGCGCGTTGCGAAGAGCGAGCAGCGCGCAGGCGAAAGCGTTGGGGAGGGGCTGCAGGCCAGGCCAGGCCAGGAGGGAGGGAGGGTCGGGGACCTGCGCCCCCCTCATGTTTCTCTGCCCCTTAGTTTTGTTCTGAGGGGGAAATTTTTTTACAGACAGTTCACGCACACTTCGCAGCGATGTCTCTGAAAGTTTTTGCCCCCGCCCCACTCTTCGGCCACCTCGCGGGCTTCTAGGCTGGCCCCGGGTCTCCCCCCGACGCCCCTCGCTCGTTCCACCGCCAGGAAAGTAGCTGGAAGCTTCCCCCGCCGCCCGCAGGCAGTGAGGGCGCACCAGTCCAACAAGTGTCTGCAGGGAGCAGCTTCCAGGTGTTCCCAGCTTCACCTCGATTTCCTTCAGCACGGGGAATGCTCAGGAATACTGAGAGCCTTGGGTTGGGGGGGGGGGGGGTCTGGAGGGCATCTGCATCTGCAATGATGGCAGAGGTGAGCAGAAAGCAACCCTCCAGGTGTTGGGATTTCAGCTCCCAGAAAACACCTGGAAAGCCCACCTGGCTTTGGACTTCACCAGGGTGACTCAATGGCAAAAGATGGTGCATCTCAGGCCTCCTTCTCAGGGTGCAGGACAACTTTGCACACTCTTTGAGCCCGAATTTTGATTTCCACAGCTTTCTCCTTTCGTTTTGAACTTGTACTCTGAGAATGTGGAGCTTTGCTGGGCTCTTACACAGATTCAGGACTAGGGAGTGAATCTACTCACCCAACAAGTTTGGGTCCAGGTAGATGAACCGCTGAGGGTACAGTCTCATGCCTCTTTGGACCACGTGGCAGGCTGGCTGCAGACGTTCCCAGCTGCAGGACTTTTTCCAGCCTGGACCTGCATCGGATTCCACCTGGATGTGTGCTGCATTTGATGCTGGGTATTAGAATGGCAGTGAAGTGGTACTTTTTGAAAGTCAGATCCTGAAGATGAAGCTCAAATACTTTGGCCACCTAACGAGAAGGAAGGACTCACTAGAGAAGCCCCTGATGCTGGGAATGATGGAAGGCAAAAGGAGAAGGGGGCGGCAGAGGATGAGGTGGCTGGATGGGGTCACTGGGGCGGTGAGGGTGGGCTTGGGGGGACTCCGAGGAGGACAGGAGAGCCTGGGGGAAATGCTGTCCATGGGGTTGTGAAGAGTCGAACACAACTTAGCAACTAAACAAAACAATATGAAGCAAAAAAGAAGTAGTTCCTGGGTGGGCAGGGGGATTGACCCCTTTCCTCCCTCTGAAGCAATTCACCATTTTCAGATTCTCATCAGGGCCATGAAAAGGGGGGGGGGGTAATCTCCCTCCCCCCACTCCTGGCAGGCTGCAGTCCCAGCCCTGGCTGTCCATTCTGATCTAGGCATCATCTGGCTAGATCCCTTGACTTCAGTGGAACCTAAGTTAGCTGTGGCTAAGAAGTCCCATTGATTTTAATGGCTCTGCTCTAAGTCTGTGTAGATTTACACACATGCACACACTGCCCCACAACTACCATTTAAATAGCAAATATCAAATACGTAAATGTGTATGTGCCATTATCATTTTGGCTGGCTTGGTCTTTAGCTACACAGAGCACTGCAATATGTTTAGGCATTGGTGGGGAAGGATGTATTCACGAGAACACTCAAATCAGGCAAGACTAGCTCACATTTTCACTGTATGTGAAAATCTCTGGGATCCAAATAAAATCAGAAGGTTCCTGATTCTGCTTGGAGTATTCCTGGTTTTATGCTTGTGGTATTTTGTGCATCACTTTGAACCACTCCTTTTTTGAAGAGGAAAAGCAGAGTATAAATCTCTTGTGTGAAAGACATACAAGTGAGTGTTTTCCCCCTCTCTTTAATTCCTCTCTGCCCTTACCCTGTCTGCTTTAGAAATTCTGTCAATGTGAATTTAAATCCCATGGATTGAAATTGTAGAAATTCAGTCCCATTGACTGAATTTCTACCAGCCCTGCAGCTGGTTTAAAAACAAAACCTTCACAGTAATCTTGTCCAGGAAGTAAAAGTAGAAAAAAACCTGTTCTGCTATGTGAATCTACTCAGATCCCTGCTTTATCATTCCACGTGATTATCTTTATGGCCAGTGCTGTTTATGCTAGACAAAGTTCATGACGCTATATAAGTATTTCCCTCCGAAGGTGTCAGTTGTGGAAATAATGCTCTACCAATAAACAGGAAGCAGCGATAGCCTGGGGTCTCTACCCCTGGCCAGCCTGGCCACGCTCCCCACTGGCCCAGCTTTTCATTTCTTGGTTTGGAGTGCTTTTAATGCAACAAATGGGCACGCCAGCTTTCATGGCAGGTTAAGGCGGATCACAGTATGAACCAGTATGATGTAGTGGTTAGACTGGGGAGCCGGGAGATCCGGGTTCCAGTTCGCACGCAGCCATGAAGCTCACTGGGTGACTTTGGACCAGTCGCTCACCCTCAGCCTAACCCACCTGAACACCTGGAGAAGAACCCCTCGGCTTCTCCCATCCGAAGGTGCCGGTTCCCACCTCTTCCTCCTCATCTGCCTGACCTGGGAATGTGCCCCTTTCATTCCCGGCAAGACCTTCCCAAGCGAGGCCGACCTGGCTGCCACGAGTGCTGAGTGCCGGCCATCTACTCTCATTTCTTGGAAGGGTTTCCAAAAGTGGAAGATGGAAGCGTTGGCTCTGCCTGTACCTCTCCTGACTTTACGGTGTCTTTCTGCTAATATCGCTCTTGGAGCTTTACCTCCCAGTGTGCTGACTGTCTGGATCTGCCCAGAAAAGAGGTATGGCTGCTGGCAGAACATTGCTTCCTGGCATGCAGGCTGAAGGAAGAGAACGTACGCAGACATCCAGTCCCTCAGTAACATTGTTTTGGAAACAGATTGCAGGCTGTATCCTTCGGAGTGCAAAAATCCGTTTTCTCCTGGCAGCAGAGATGTTCCGAACAAGCTGTGCTCTCCGCCTGAGCCCAGATTGCATGGAGACGGCGTGGGCATCGCAAGGGAACGGCTAGCACTGGCACCTGCTGCCGTTTCAGTGCCGCCCGCAGGCTCAGAAATGGGTGTTTTGCACACACCCAGTCCAAGCTTTTCATCTACAACAGGCATGGAAGTAACTCCAGGCTGTCTCTGTGCAACCCCATCCATGCCGAAGCTTCTTCGCGCACCCCTGTACAGTCGGAAAAGGCACAGAAAAGGATCAAACAAAAATGATGACGCAAAACTAAAACCAAGGAGCGACACGGTAGAAGTGTGCGAAATTAGCTGTTTGGCACACCGGCATTAATGCGCTGCCATGTTCTCTTCCTCCTCCCAGTGCTTCTTTCGGAAAAGGAGTTCCATGATGCAGCCAGACGAAATGACACGGCGCGCATGGCTGAGCTAATCGAGAGAGGCGTGGACGTCAAAGCCAAGAACAATGTGAGTGCATTTTGACTGGGCTCAGGCAACACCATACCTCTAGTTCAGCAGCTGAATGTGGGTTGCGTGTGGGTTGCCACGGGCTGTCCAAGTGTGGGTTATCGTGTCGTCTGAACCCAACTGAGATGACAAGTCATGGGGAATAAGCGAGTGGTCTGAGTTAGCGGGGCTGTTCTGATGTTCCTGGTTATGCCAGCCCTGCCCCTTGGCAGACGGCTGCCCGAAGCATGTTTCAGAGGGTCGTGGAAGCAAAGGGAGCTCACCTTGGTGCTCTCACAGCAAGTGTCCCTGCAGACCACTTCTCTGGCTGAGCAGTTGCCCCACGCCAGGACCTGGAGGAGGCCTGCTCACCTCCCCTTTCCCTGCTTAATCCCTCCCTCCCTTCCTTCCTTTCCAGCTAGACCGGACCGCTCTCCACTGGGCCGCGGGAGCCGGGCACGTGCAGGCGGTGCGGCTCCTCCTGGCACACGATGCCGCCGTGAACGATGAGGATAATGTAAGCCACGGGAGAGCAGAATCTGCATACCGGGTGTCCAGGGCCTTCTCTGCTGTGGCACCCCAGCTTCCAACCTGGCTGCCCAGAGAGGCCTGCCCACCTCAGGGCCTCAGACAGCTCTTTCTTTTATTCCCCAGTACATTTAGATCTCCAATGCAACTGTTTTTACCCTGCTGTGTAACTGTTTTGTTTATGCATGTTTTGTTGACATTGAAGATTGCCCTGTCTTTATTCTTTTAACATTGTGAGCCGCCCTGGAAGTACCGTAAAATGAAGCCGGGGGTCCATACTTCCTGAGCCGCTCCTCCTCCCTAGAGTGGGGGAGGCGATGCCATTCTCGCTGCCTGCCAAGCTGCCCCCGCACCCTTTCTCAAGCAGCTTATTTTTGTCCCAGCCCCGAGGATTGCTGCAAAATGAGCTCCTTTAGTGCCAAAGACTGCAGCTTGGAGGGCATTTATCGCATAGTGGCTCGGACCCCAGTGCTGCTTTGCACGCTTTATTTTGGGCAGTTGACTCCCATGGCAGGTATTTCATGGTGGCGCCCACCTCAAAACTGCCACGTGTGCCCACGGTCCAGAGGGACATCCTACCCCCGCCCAGGAGAATGCCTCCCCAACGTCTGGGGCCCGTGAGGCTGGGCACTGGCTGCCACACGCTCTCCCTTCTGTCTCTTGCCTTCCCAGTTTGGGATGAACGCGCTGCTCTTGTCGGCTTGGTTCGGCCACCTGCGCATCGTTCAGATCCTCGTCAACGCCGGTGCCAAAACCAACTGCGTGAACAAGGTACGCCCCTGTCCTCAGACTCCCGGGTTTAGCAGCTCAGAGTCCTGCTGGCTTTGGCCTGCCACAGCCCTTCGCTGCGTGTCCGGCTGGCTCCCTTTGTGAGCGAAGTCCTTGGAATGCAGGGTGGAGGTGGGTGACTTGGCTCCGGCTCCTGATGCACTCAGTCCAAAGTTCACGTGCGGCTGTGCTAGGAAGCGGCCGTGCGGAAGACGGAAGGCCACCGGTGGAGGTCGCTGTTGTCCAGACACCGCCCAATAGTCTGTGAATGGGGCCAGGAGGGCCTGCTGGACCACACCGGGTCTCCTCCAGTCCCGCGTCTGCTCGTGCTGTGCAACCAGCCCCCCGTCGGATCGTAGGCAGAGCAGGGACCGTGGGGTGCCAAAGAGACGCCCATATTTCTGTTTCTGTTACAGGCCTTTCTGTGTGTGCCTCTAGATCAGGGGTCCTCAAACTATGGCCTGGGGACCAGCTCCAGCCCACCATGCGCATTTGGACCTGCCGCGCACATGCCCACATGCGCGCCCGCCGCCACCCACCTCACCCCGTGCGCGGGGAGGCAGCGGTTCGCTCGCCTGGAGAAAACGATCTCGTGCACCCGCCTTGAGGCACGTGCTGCCCCCGCCTGCGCCTCGCCGCCCCTTGCTGTGCGCGTGCCTCCCCACCTCCCCTCCCCTCCCCTCCCCTCACTGCGTGCCCGCCCCCGCCTCAGCGCTGGCCCACACACCCCACCGGCACCGCCTTTCTGGCCCACGCCCAGCACCAGCGGCTTTCAGCTGGCGCCTTGGAGAAGGAGTTTGAGGACCCCTGCTCTGGACAGATTCATCAGCACAGCCAGATTTCGTGCGAGCGCGTGCCCTCGTTTGTGCCCCCAGTTGTGCACAAGGCCCTTGGGGAATGCTTCTTGAAAAGAACATCCCACCCCCTTTGATGGCAGTCCCCGAGGCCACCCTCACCCTGCCCGGACGCATAGAGTGCCGCTACCAATCTGTGTAAACCGAGGGCAGGAGAGCTGGCACCCTCCCGGTATTTGCAACTAAAACTCCCATCAGCCCAGCCAGCACGCCTGACAGCTGGGCTGAGGGGCTTGTGTTCCAAAACATCTGGGGCAGTCGCCCCGCTACAGACAGTCCTGAACCAGCTGGACCAACGGTGTGAGTGGGCCAGTGCCTCCATTCTTGCATATCTCCATTTAACCTGCCTGTGTAGAGCCCCGCCAAAGGCCTGGCCTAGGCCCAGGCCCAACGCCACACTGGTCAGGGCCTAGGGAGCTTCTGGGATAGCAATGTGGATGGCACTGGCAGGCAGCTACGCGCTCGGCAAAGGTTCCCCCGCACACCAGCGTTCACCGCGGCACGCCAAGCCCGCAGGCACGTGCGCAAAACCGTCTCGGCGTTGGCAGGAGCCGCCCGGGGGTGACGCGTGGCCCAGGCATGCGGAAGCAGCCCGGCAGTGCGGATGCACAGCGCTTCCTGCTGAGCAGCGTGCTTGCTCGTGGGTGTGCCCGTCACCCTTGCACAACAAGCACCCACAGCTGGGTGTGCAAGTCTGCCTTGTTTGGATGGGCAACACCCTTCAAAGGCGGGCGTAAAAGAGGTGTGAACGGGACAGGCGCTTCCTTCAGGAGGGGTTTCCCGCACTCAGATCGGCCCAGGCGGCTGCAGGAAGCAGGAGGACATTTGTGCGAGTCCTGCAGAGAGCAGCTGAACCCACTCGATCGGCTCTGGAATGCGGTTGCGCCAGGATCCAGACCGCAGCAGCTGGCCCCTTTCTGGCGGACTGGGGAGGAAGGGTGTTGCCCCGAGAGAGGCAAGCCGTGACCCAGCCTGGCCGTGGCTTCCACAGGGAGGAGACGAGTCCCTTGGCAAGGGATCCATGTTTGCAGCCCCACCTCTTGCCGTTACCTAGTTGCATAGATGCTCCGCATTCTCATCTTTAAGTCAGTGCCATTCAAGGGGCTGCCTTTGCCCCAGGGCCAATTGCTGACTGCTATTCTGCCCTGCAGTGAGCCCAAGAGGTTTCTTGTCCATGAGGAAACCAGGGCTGGGCACAGGGTTGACAAGAATCTACTGATGGATTCACTGGGTGATGTGCAGAACGTCCGCAAGGTTTTCTGAGGCCCGATTCAAGGGAATGATGGCCCTTGAGCAAGGGAATGATGGCCCTTGCCCTAAATTATGCTGCTGAAATGAGGAAAGCATGCTGGGATGACAGGCAACCAGGACTGGCTGTTTTGCAGGACTGTGAGCTTCGTTCCAGGCTGCTCCTCAAAGCAACTTCCTGGAATGAGAATCATTTAATTCGAAGTACACAAGGTTTGTTGTTGTTCAGTCACACAGTTGTGCCTGACTCCTCATGACCCTATGGACAACTCTTCTCCAGCGAGTCCTTCCTTCTCATTAGGTGCCCAAAGTATTTGAGCTTCAGCTTCAGTATCTGTCCTTTTAAAGAAAGTCAAGGTTGATTTCCTTTAGGACTGACTGATTTGAGCTCTTTGCAGTCCAAGGAACTCAGGAGCCTTCTCCAACACTTCGAAAGTGTCAATCCTTCGGCGCTCAGCCTTCCTTCTGGTCCAACTCTCACAGCCATACGCTACACCTGGAAAACCATAGCCTTGCCTATACAGTGCACGAGGTTCGTACAGGGCTCCAAACAGTTTTCGCTTAAGATGAAGACAAAGACGCTGCTGCCTGCGAAACTGACGTCCGCCCACCCTATGCTAAACTCACAGGACCCCTTTCTTTTCCAGAATGGGCGCGGCCTCTTGCACTGTGCGGCCCAGAGAGGTCACATCAACGTGATCGAGTTTCTCATAGAAGACCTAGAGGATGTGCGGCTGGATAAGAAAGACAAGGTGGGCACAATGCCTCCCGTGCCATGGGGGCGGGTTCGCCAGGCCACCCACCCAGCAGGCCTGGAGTTCATCAGGGAGATGTTTAGGAAGATTTCTGCAGTGACCCTGCCCTTCCTATTGATCTTCGAAGCATAGAATCCTAGAATAGGAGAGTCGGGAGGGACCCTGAAGGCCATCGAGTCCACCCCCTGCTGGTGCAGGACACCACATTACACCCTCCCACTCAGAGGGCTGCCCAGTTTCACCTTGAATGTCTCCAGGGTGGGAGAGCCCCCCACCTCTCCAGGCAGCGGGTCCCACTGCCGTATCGCTCTGACCGTGGGGAAGCTTTTCCTGATGTCCAGCCTGACTCTGGGTTGTCGCAGCTTGAATTGACTATTCCGTGTCCTGCACTCTGGAATCAGTGAGAAGAGACCTTGGCCTTCCTCTTTGTGGCAGCCTTTGAGGGACTTCTAGAGGGACATCATGTCCCCCCTCAGCCTTCCCTCCTCAAGGCTGAACATGCCCAGTTCTCTCAGCCTCTCCTCACAGGGCAGTGTTTCCAAACCCTGGATCATTTCTGTTGCCCTCTGCTGGACCCTTTCTCATTTTCCTGCTTCTCTCAAACCTTGGTGTCCAGAACGGGACACAGTATTCCAGGTGAGGTCTGCCTAGTGAGGAGCATAGGGGAAGTGCTACTTCTTGTGATTTGGAAGTTACACTTCTGTTAGTGCATCCCAAAATAGCATTTGCCCTTTTGGCAGCTGCATCACATCTTGCCCCAAGGAAGCTGAAGGCATGAGAGCGTACCTAGAACCAGCATCCCCAGCATTTGGGGCCTGAGGACACATCGAGCATTTGGAGGCGTGCTGTGGGCACTCCCACAAAATAACTGCCATGGAGGGCTTGTCCATTCACAAAATGGCTGCCCTTTTGAGCATGGCTGGTCGCAAAACATGCATTTCTCAGAAGGTATGTCGTGAGACTAAAAGGAAAGTAACTTTACCAGGAATCTAATCAAGGCAGAGGAAGGGTCTGAGTGCCAAAAGGCCAGACCACCCTTAAGAACCCAAATAAACATGACCATAGAGGACCACCCTTCACTTTGTAACATACCAGCCTCCCAGTCAATTTTTTCATTAAAATATCTTAAGAAATTAAAATCAGGCAGGGAGCGGGCACCAAGCAAGGTGTGTCTTAGAGTACAGGACGGGCCGATGGGCAATCCAGGTCCCAGTCCCTTCCCAGCCATGGAGCTCGCTTGGTGACTGGACCAGTCACAGGCTCCTAGTCCAACCTACCTTGCAGGGTTGTTGTGGGGATAAAATTGGGAGCAAGAGGAGGAGAATGATCTAAGCCGTCTTGTGTTCCTTGAGAGGAAAAAAGGCAGGCTAGAAATATAACAACGGTTTAGCCCATTTACTCTTTCTCTCTTTAAAGATGGAGAGAACTGCATTTCATTTGGCTGCAGAGAATGGACAGCTGGAGGTGGTGAAGTTCCTGATTTTGGCTGGCTGCAAATGCAGCATCAAGGACAAGGTGGGTCAAGGGACTGGCGTCGAGCATGCCGTGTTCAAGGCTCTGCTGCACCCGTCCCTCTTAATCCCGCTGTCGGTGGAAAGAATAGCAGCACTAATCGGAGATCAAGGGGGAATGTTCCCCAGGGAACCCACACGAGTAAATACCCAGCGCCATGTAATAAGCATAATATGATTCGTAGTTTTTTAAAAAAAAATAGGTCTGGATCTAGAGCTTCCGTAAAATAATGCAATTGCTCGTAAGTCATGGGAATCAACAATGCACCAGAACACAGCATATAAAAGCTACAGAGACGGTGTGCAACCGCACTGACTTTCTAGCAAGTATGTATATTTATTACTGTGCCTTTGCTATTTCTAAGTCAGTGAGGTACAGCTGAAAGTCTTGTGGGTGAGAATGTGAACAGTTGTTTGCCAGTTACAGAAAGAAAGTATTGTTCACTCTCTGTGCTTCTGTTTCACATGAAAAGATAACGGCTCTGAGCTGAACAGCTCCTGGACTGATGAATAACTTAGCCAACATTTTGCAGACCTGCTTAGACCTCTCCCACTTGTGAGCATATGTCAGTTTTCACTCAGTTGAGGAGCGGGAGGTCGAAATGCAAATGCGGCATATGCAATTCGCACCTCATTGCTGAGGCCATGGTCAAGCCCTTGCTTTTGTAAGCACTCTTTTCCAGATGGTTAGGTTGTGCTGATCCCACTGTCAGCAGAGGGTTCAGCAGACTGGCCCGCAGTTTCTTAGTGCTTTAGAAAGACCCCCCCCCCGGTCCCCCCAAGGTTTGTTCTCCTTTCTTCTCACCTTGGTACATCTTGCATTGATTTGCAGGACAAGAACACGGCAATGCATTTAGCTGCCAAGAACGGGCATGCAGAGGTGCTGCAGAAGCTTATAGAAGCTGGCATGAGCCTTGATGAGAAGAACAGGGTGAGTAAATGACGTCCGAAGGAGGAGTCTCCTCTTGCGACCACCCACTGCAAGCACAGGCCCAGCTTTTTAACAATGTAAGCCTGCCTTCTCCCACCTGGCGTCCTCTAGATGTGTTGGACTACAGTGTCCATCATTCCCATTTGGGCTGGGGAAGAATGACTTCAGCCACCGAATGGCCAGGGCAGGTCACCACGTGGGCCCGTTCCCCTTGCCGTGCAAGACCCCCGCATGCAACGGCTCCGGACTCCCCGCGTCCCCTCTGCGGAGCCCTGGGCCCCGGCTCCCGAAGGGCGCTTGTGAGAAATGGGGCGGGGGAAGTGGGGTGGGAGACACGCGGAGGGGGCTGCTCTCCTCCCGTGGCGGAGGGGTCATCCCACGAAGCGACTGGGGAGAGATTCGGGGCAGGCCAAAGGAGGGCTCCGGCGCACAGCCCGTGGCAGGTCGCGTCGGCCACCACCTTGGCGCCCCGGAAAGGGGGTGGAAGCCATCCACGCACTGCTTCAGCCACCCGGGGGGCTGCCTGGCGGCGGAGTGCTGTGGCGCTCCCGTCTCGCCGGATCTTTTTTGAGCTGATCAGGAGAGCTGCTCCATCATTACTCCAAACCCACCTTTTAGTTTCCCTGTTTACGGTCTTGCCTCGGTTGCAGCGAAGCCCCAAGTATGTGCAGCCATATCCATCTCATGTAATTTTTTATTCTTCTGTGCGTTGTTTGATACCTTGCTTTTCCTTTCCTTCTGCTTCATCTTGTATATCACGCCATCACATGATAAGATCCACAGGGCCTTGGCTTCTTTTTTGTATAAAATATTATTTATTTATTTAAAACTTTTCTATAGCATTCTTCTACTTAATCTTGTATATTCCACCATCACAGTTTAGATAATAAAATCCACAGGGCTTTGGCTTCTTTTTAAATATTTTTATATAAAATGTTTGTTTAAAACTTTTCCATACCTTCCCTTACCAAAGACTCAGGATGGTTTAACAATACAAAATGTAAAATAAAGCACAGCATCCTAAAATTTCAACTAACAATAAAACCCAATTAAAACATGTGGTTTTAACATTAAAAAATAAATGCTCAGTTTGGTAGCAGCACCCATGAGAAGTACACAGTCTTGCCTCTAATCCACATTTGTTACAGACATGGCCCACTTTTCCGCCAAAGAGCACACGGGCTCATAATCATTCCTAATCCACCCCTGACCGTATCCTCACAACAATCCTGTGATTGTTAGTTTAAATGCTGTGGAGCTTCATTAATAATAGCATTACATGATGCTTATACTCTTTGCAAGGAACTCAAGGCGGCTTGCAAGAATGCTCCTCCACTTTATGTTCAGAACAACAACCCTGCGAGGTGGGTCGGGCTGTCAGTCACCCAGTAAAGAGAGGACTTCGATGCCATGTGAGGACTAGAATCTTGGTATTCTGCATCCCTGTCCAACCCTCTCAGAACTACACTAAGCCGAGAACAGGGACAGGGAATCTTCAGCCTTCCATATATTGTTGGGTTGTATCTCCCGTCATTCCTGACCATGGGCATATTGGCTGGGGCTGATGGGTTCCCTTGCCCGGAGAGTGATGACTATCCAAGACTTGCAAAATGCCTAAAACGTTCTAAGCACTGGACTTGCATTGTGGAAGATGTACGCGAGACAAAAAGAAAATGGCGCAGGGAGGGGAGGATCAGACGGTCCCGGAGCATCCGCCTGTCTGCAGGTGGACGGGCCTCTCCTGCCTGTGACAACTGCCCCCCAGAGCACAGCAGGGGTGCTCATGACCCGCTCCCTTGCCAGGAGGGGCTGACTGCGCTGCACCTGGCTGCCGAGGGAGGCCACCACGGATGCCTGAGGCTGCTGCTCGAGGCCGGCTGCGATGTCCGTGCCCAAACCCAGGTGAGCCGGTCCCGCCGGAAGGTGATCTCCACCTCAGCTGAGAAACGGGGTGGCCAGGAGGAGGTCGAGCAGCCACGGGGCACTGATTTGGCCGGGTGCTTCAAGGCGTCTTGCAATGTGTCTCTTGCCCAGAAAAAGATGACTTGTCTTCATTACGCCGCGCTGAATGGCTTCGAGGACGCGGCCAGAATGCTCATTGCCGCGGGAGTCCAGACAGACGCCCTGAATTTCGTAAGTGTCTCCCTTCGACAGGCCGTGCCTTGCGCCTCTGGAGGGAAGGGAGAGCGTGTCCGTGTGTCGGGCACTTCCTTGCTGCCGCTCCTCTTGCCGTCTTCCTCGCAGCTGAATACGTCTGCAGGGCCCTGCAGCCAAAGCTCTGGCTGCTTCGTGCACACCAGAAAGTGAAACCCCAGCTCCCTTCCCACAAATAACCACAGGGCCCAATGGCACACGAGGCAGGCACATTTCTGAAGCTAAACAGGTTCAAGTTGGGCTGGTGCCTGGATGGGAGACCTCAGGGGAAATGCACGTGCATCTCACATTCCACGAGAGATGAAAGCAGGGCTGGGGGGAATATGAATGGGCTACAGGGACCGGGAAGGCCTCGAACGCAGTGGCAGGGAGCTGGCTTTGCATGCGGAAGGCGGCAGCAGCCCATTCGTGGCACCCTCTGTGTCAAAGGCTGGGCAAGATCGTGGCCTAAGAGCGAGGAGGAGACCAAGGGGTGGGAAAGATGAACACCTGCCATCTGTCCCTTTGTTGACCGCTCTCTGCCTCTGCTCTCAGCCCTAAAGCATGCCCCTTTCTGGTACCCATGGTCTAACTCTTCTTTCCAAATCCCACGAGTCAGGGCAGGGGTGTGATGAAAACCTCACCTTGGAAGCATCTTTGCATGCAGAGACGGCTTCCATGGTAGCAGTACGGAAGCCGACCTGCCCTTTCGGTTCTCTGCACAACAATGATGCTTCTTTCCACAGCAAAACGCCTCAGCTATGCACATCGCGGTGCTACAGAACCATCCAGCCCTCGTTAGGCTCCTAATCGATGCCGAATGTGACTTGGACATCCTTGATAACGTAAGGAGTTTCACTGGGGTTCTCAGAATTTAATACATACCACCAATGGCTAATTATTAGAGATACAGTGCAATCCATGCAGGCATTTTACATTGCTAAGGGCCTTGTAAGAGGATTTAAAAGTCTCTGAAAGAATGCCTTACTAAAGGAATTTCAAGACAAATCTTGGATTATGTGCTATAGATGGTTTAATGAAATGAGAAGTTGGGTCAAAGGGAGATACGCGCTCCTGGGTAGTAATCCTAGGAAAAGTAAAACTGCCAGGAACAAGATTCCGCCTTGGAGCACGGGAAGGACCACGAGCCCCATTCCGTTCTGGTGCTAAGGCCTGTGTAATAGGCACGTGCCTCTTTGTGTGGTCTCAGCCGGTGGGTCCTGGAGTTCCAGTGAAAGAAACGAGCGGATTCTGCAAGCCAAGGCTTCTCTCCCATTGTGCAATCGGCCCTTCCCTCGACTTGTTCCAACTAGCTTAACCTCCACTGTTTGTGCCCAGAGACAGCAGAGTCCTCTCCATATCGCTGCCGAACATGGGAGACAAGAAATTGCTGAGATGATCCTAATCGCCGGTGTAAACTTGAAACTGACGGACAAGGCAAGTTTCTGACATCCAGCCAGGGAAGAACTTCTAGCAGGAGACTTGACCTGGTTTTCTGCCTCCCCTTCCTGCCAGCCACAAGGAGAGGTGTCTGGAATAAGGGGGCACGTGGGTGTCTGCAGGGGGGTTTCCGTGATTCAGAGCAGGCAAACAGAGCCAGCAGAGTTCGTCACCAAGAGCTAAGCAAGTGTGGTTATTCATTTATTTATTTTTGCATGTGTATGCCACCCACTAATCCAGATGGATTCTCTAGGCAGCTTACAGTTAAATACTACTAAATAATACTACAATAAAATCAAATAAAATCACAATTAAAGGAGATCACACAGTGATACCAGTAAGCACTAACAAATTCAAGGCTGTCCTTGAAAATATTCAGAAAAAAGAAATGTCTTTGCCTGGCACAAGATTAATAAACACAAGATTGGCACCAGGACAACTTTTTTGGGGAGCCTGTTCCACAAGGGGTCGTCACTGAGAAGGCCCTCCTTTTACTTACTGACCCTTTATCTTCTTAAGGGGCAGCTCTTTTAGAAGGACCTCTTGCCTAGACCTTAATGGGTGGATAGGTATAACTGGGAAGTTCCAGAAGTCTGGATCCATCCTCTCGTCTTTAAGCAGGATAGAGGTGATTAACAAAACAGACAGGAAGTCCCGGTTCACGGACTCAGATTGGCTCATCACTCAATTGGGCAGGACTCTTGGCTGTCCCCAAATATCTGGACTGACTCGGTGGTGTTGGAAGGGGAGGAGGTGGTGGAGAAGTTTTGATGGTGCCATTTGTGACGGCCCCTTCCGTGCAGATGCCACGGCTTGCTCCGCTCCGTATCGGCGTCGGTGGACACATCAGAGTGCCTGGTGATCCGCAGGATTCAAGAGCTTAGGCTGCATTTGGGGGACACGGACGAAGGGGCGGATCGGGGAAGTGAGGGCCGGGTGCTTGCCTTGCATGCACTCAGTCTCGCTTGCAGGAGGGAACAGGAGCAAGGGGTTATGGCAGAGGCTTTGTAGAAGAGGGGGCTTTTGAGAGCCCCCGAAGGATGTCCGAGGGGGCCTCGTGCAGGCGTCCTGCGAGGCAGCTCCAAGCCTCTCGGCTGGCAAGGGAGGAAAGGTGGAGCAGAAGAGTGGGGTCGATGGAGGAGGGCGGGCTTGGAGGGCGATGGCCACCGGAAGGGATGGATCGGGATGTATTTATTTGTTACATTTGGGAGGGGAGAGGATCAGGGCTAGATTAGAGGAAACTGGAAAGATAACCTGAGATAAACACTTGTCTTTTCAATTTTATTTTGCTTCCATGATCATAGTGTTTATTTCCTTCTCTTTTTGGTTACAGCAAGGAAAAACATCCCTAGATATTGCTGCCCGTGGGAACCACATCAACTTAGCCGATATGATCATCAAAGCCGATCGGTTTTACAAGTGGGAAAAGGTACCTGCACCTCCGACTTACTCAGAAAGGCGAGCCATCACACAGTATTCACCAACAATGCTTGCCTGGCATTTCCAGGGCCACTGTCTCTGTAGCTGCTGCTCTCGCCCAGCTGGAACATCGTGCCCCACTGCCATTTTTTAAATTTAAAAAATCTTGGGGAGGAATGGAAAGCAGTCGTTGCAGCAGAATCCCTGGGGTTGTTTGGGATGCTTGTGGGTTCAGATAACACACCTACCCATTGTGGCTTATAAGCCACACTGGCTTGCGAAGCTGTGTGAACCCAGTAAGTGTTGTCAGTGGCAGGTGCTGCAAAGCAGAGGCCTGTTTGATTCAGAAAAGCCTTACGTGGAGGGTAGAGATGAGGAATGTGCTGTTGACAGAAAGGGGGAATGGGGTGGAAGCGATGGTGTGAACGTGCTATTCATTCATTCATTCATTCATTCATTCATTCATGCCGTCCCAATACTAAAAGTCTCTGGATGGCTTACAAAAACCAAAAAGCAAAGCAAGCATATACAACTATCAACACACAGCACACTGCATCTGATAAATGGTGATAAAAACAAGGATAAAACCAATTAACTGTTAAAATGTTGGGAAAATAAGAGGGTAAACATTGACTAGGTAAATGTTACAAGGAAGGTTGCAGGCAGTTGGGCTCAAGAAAGGAGGGGTAAAACAGCAATCTGGGAAGAGGCCTGGAACATGCCTCCCACTGAGAGGAGTGGAGAGGGGGGCCGTGGTGAAGTGGCAGAGGTCTGAGGACGGAGGGGCTGCCCGGAGATGCGCAAAGGCGGGCCAGAGAAGAGTGGGGCCGCAGGAGACCTCCGCCACAACAGAGGCAGTGCCTGCTGGAGCGGGGTGAGCAACCTTCAGCTTCGTGGCCTCTGCGCTTGTCTTTCACTAGAACTCCTTGGCCCCCCAGCTGGCGCATGGTGCAAGGCAGCTAGATGTAGAGATTTGTGAGGCCAGCGATTTCTTCTGGCAGCTGCACACACAAGGCCACTGCTGGCTACTCCAGGCTTTCTTGATTTCAGCCAGATGCCTCAGGTTGTGCTGGGAGGGGAGGAGTCACTCGCTTGTTGCTGCTGTTAAACGACTAAGTCAGAGATCCTTGCTGATCTACTGCCCATGTATCGCCAGTAAATCTGAATCTGCCTTCCCTTTCGCCCGGTAGAAACAGGTGAAGGTGTGGAGTTGGGAATTGTTGTCTCGGAGGTGGTTCGTGACACATGGAGTGGGTGTGGGTGGAGCTGTGGCAGCAAAGAACCCACGCACAGCCTGGGGCCCACTCTTTCCCAGATGCAGTTCGGACCACAAAGGCCTTTCTCTCTTTGTGGCTTAAAACTGCTTGATGTTTTTACAGGATAATTTGAACAGTGACTCCGACTCCTGGGTAGCCAAGCACTTAACCTTCAGGCAGGACCACCGGCTGGAGACTCAGCACATCCGCTCGGTCCTGTGGCGGCTCGCCACCAAATACCTCAAACCCAGCGAGTGGAAGAAGCTAGCACATTACTGGAAATTCACCGAGGGACATATCAGAGCGATTGAACACCAGTGGGCGGGTGAGGCCGAGGCACACGCCGTTTCGCACTGATGATCTCTAACCAGATCATCTGCAAACGGGAAGAACTGCAAAAACGAGCCAGTGCCTAGACTTGGCCCCGCACTTACGGAGACTTGTTCTGAAGGTGGAAAGCAAGGCCATTTCACCCAGCCAGTTCAGATGACCTTACAGGCTGACCCAGCAATGGCTCTGGGCTCAGGATTTGCATAATACTGGTGCAGTCGACTGATTTTTCCTAAAAGTGTGCCATTAAAGGAATCCTACTTCGCAGCCTGGCCCAGGGCCCTTTTTAACAGATTCTTTTAAGGAAAAGATAGTAGACTGTTTGAGCACTGTATGATAAAACTCATTCATAATGCAGTACTGATTTCGACAATGCTAAAATAGAATACAAAGGTTGGCTAGAGATAAACAAAAACAAAAAAGGCCAAACAGATTTCAACAAACGATCCATGTTTTATCTTGTGTTGTGAATCACCCAGAGGTGCTGTGGCACACAAATGTTTTAAATAAACAAAATAAATAAAAATCAGTGGCCTAAAAAAGTCATTTAGCCTAAACTCTGATTTGACTGGAAGATTCAATACATCTATTTACTCAATGTAAAAGTTATTATTTATTCAGTATTAAAGTACTTAAGGAGGTTAACTACAGCTGACGACCTGTCAGAGCTATCTTTCTCTTCCACTTTTCTGGAACAATTCCAAGGTCACGTGTCCAAAGAGGTGTATTTTTTCCTTAATTTTTCGTTGCTGAAAACGTTAAAAGCAGCTGGTCATCCCCGTCAATGCACTCATAACCCCAACCACTATCACATCCCCACAAAGCAACATTTCATTCTGCTTTTATTTTTCAGGTGGCAAAAGCTACAGGGAGCACGGCCACAGGGTCTTGCTGATCTGGCTCCATGGTGTGATCATGGCAGGCGAAAACCCTGTCAAAGGACTCTACGAAGGCCTGGTCGGCATTGGGAGGCGCGATCTGGCAGGTGAGGCAATTCCTTGGACTCCCGTCTCGCTTTGGACATTAGCTTTCTCCTGTATATACAGGCCGACTGTCCAGGTAGTTTGTGACGGTTACGTTGCCCATCTAGCCCAGTGTGGGATAAATGGAAGCTGACAGATCTGCTGTGCGAACTAGTGGGATGGTGAGGGTGCTGGACTGGGGCCCGGGCTCTGCTCCCCATTACGGCCCAACCTTCCCTGGGGGACTGGGCCAGTCAGAGATGTTTAGTCTATCTAACTTAGCTCCCAGGGCTACTGGTGTGAGGAGAAAATGGAGCTAGGGAAGGTGCCTTGGGTTCCTCTCAAGGAAAAAGGCAGGATATAAATGTGATCACCTTTAAAATCGAGGCACACTTCAGTCCCACTGACTGTGATGTTTCCAAAGTGACACAGGTTCACATCGTGGCAAGACTTACTGTGTGCCTTTGGAAAAACCCTTGGACTCTTCGGTTGGTCCAAAATGTAGGAACAAATCTGGATCACTAGTGCTACTTGTGACTGATTAAACCCTAAACGGCCAGGTCCCAGAAGATGTGAGAACTCCCACGATCCTGACACTTGCCTTCTACCTGCTTAGGCCTTCCTTCAGCTCCTCATTCCACCTGAGGACTAGTTCTGTGTCCTTTGGAACTTTCTTTCCTGGGAAATTTTGTATTTTATATTGTTATTTTTTACATTTTAACTTAATGTTTGTATTCTACAAACATTTTAATTTAATGTTATAATTTAATGTTTGTATATTTTTTAACTTAATGTTGTAAGCCGCCCCGAGGCTTCGGCGAATGGGGCGGCATAAAAATGTTTTAATAAATAAATAAATCCACACTGATAGCATTTAAAAGGCACCCAGGAAAGAGAATTATTTCTTCATTAATTTGTTCAGCTCCAGAACCTATTTCTAGGTACCATGTTATTTTTAAACATGATCTCCTTGCAAGTAATGTAACTCGCTTTGGACATGGTTTTAGCAGTAGTGGACTTGGTATATTGTGACAAATCAGCTGGAACTGTGGGGCCTAATATAAGCTGTCTTAAGCTCCCCACATAGGCAATCTAAGCAAAGAGAAGCCTCAGTCGACCAGGAAAAGCCTGTTGCATTCCGGATGTCGTATGTCACACGGCTCCTGCCCTTTGACATTCATGCAACGAGCAGGGTGTCTGAAAAGAGGTACCTACTCACAGAAGTCAGATCCCTTGCATGCACCCCACCCCCATGCACAGAAGTAGGCACCCCTTCCCAGATACTGGGCCAGGTCCCACCAGGGCTCGTTTAAGCCATGGATGCATTGCAAATGTGCCAGCAGCCATTCCAAGCCAGGGGGTTGCCATGACTTGCAAGAATTTAAACCTGCTCTTGGAAAGACCCTTTGCTGAAGCCTGGTCTAACCTGGGTGGCTCTTGAGAAATGTACAGGACCATCTTCTTTTTCAACAGAAAGCATCAGGAAACAGGCAAACGCAGAATCTATGTCTCCAAGGAGGTGTACTGCGATGTGAACGCAAGAGGGAAAAGAAGACGCTGCTGCGTGTGTTAACTTTTGAAAGTTTTACTCAGGACTGGCATCAAGGGGACTGAAGCATTTTTAACTATTGGCCAAAACATTTCTATGACCTCTAAGGGCTTCTTGCCATAGTAAGTGGCAACGTTTTCCACTGACCAAATTGCATAATTTATTCAATGTCAGGTAAATGCAAGTTGCAGAGCAGCTGTTTCTTGTTACAACAATGCATTCTTAAAGAAAAAAAGGAGAAGAAAATACTTGATTTATTATTTCTTCAACATGGCAACTAAGAAAGATGTATATGTCTTATTTTCCAAGCCTGAAGCTAAAGCTGCACTCTTAAGTTTACTTACAAGTAAATTCCATCAAAGAGAATTTATTCTTAAATAACTGTGGTTAGAATATTTATTTATTTATTTATTTATTTATTTAGGAGACTTCTATGCCGCCCCATTTGCCGAAGCCTTTATATTCGCCGAATATAAAGGCCAAACTAGAAAAGATCACTGTAAAGTACAGAATCTGCAGCTTTTCTGTTCTTCTAAATACATTGTGGAAGCACAGCTACAGAAAACATTTGATTTTCATAGAAAATGATTGCACCTCAAGTTTTACCATCCAAGGATGCATTTATACAAGACATTTCATAAGCTCATCTCTTGCCAATCAGGTGCTAGTACTCCATGTTTATTTTCCCAGTGTTACTTGTTTCCATCCTATTAAGTATAGCTTATTTTAAAAAAAACTGTCATGAAGATATACTTTCTCCTATATACCAAGCCACTTTCCCTAACCACATACTCCTTGTGCACACTCTGTGGGATGCTTCGCTTACTCAATTTCTCCCTTTGTCCCACCCACCCCCAAAAAAAGCCCACACAAAAACGACCAGGAATACAATCCAGCTAAGGAAAAACATCCAAGCCCCACTCTGTCCAGTGAGACAGAGCCGGCTAGCGACTTGGCCTTGGCTGGGCTGTGCCCAAGGCTCTGCACTGTCCTTCCCAGGTCCCTTCAATTAAAGTTTGGCTTACTGCAGAGAGAGTTCTCGGAGGTTAGAGCATGCACTCAAGTACAGACTGACCTCCAGGCTTGTCCTGCGTCTCTTGAATGCAACTCTTGAATGGCTCGAAGCATGTGCAATACAAGATGCCACTGCACACCCATCCCAGGGGCGTATTCCCTGCTTGTTTTCAGATACAGGCACACCTGTCCGATGTCACAGGGAGATACAGCTGGCCAGAATATTCCCCACAACATGTGATACAGCATCCGTGCTGAGCCAGGCTCTGTCTCGGTACGAGAACGTCACGTGCCGCATTTTGTGGAGGAGGTGCTCCCTCAGTCCATGTGCAGATTAGCAGGGCTGGGCTGCTTTAGGCTTCCGTGTGGAGGACAAACCATTTATGACCAATACTTTTGCAATCCATGCTGACTACTTGTTTTATACACCTCAGCTATGCGCATGGAGATAAGCTAGAAGGCCGGCCTCTTCTTTACCATATAGGGAGTTACAGATTCACTGCAGGGAAGTGCGCCAACTTTGGAGGCTATACAGGTTGGCGACTCACCTTCAAACCAACAGGGGGATTTCAGTCAACAGGGACAGAACAGCGACTTGTTTGTATCCAACGGCGGTATACTTTTCTTACCTTTGTCATGAACTTTTGTACTGTTGAACCGTGTTGGAGCACCTGATTTTCAAATAAACAACTTTTCCTGTAAGTAGTTCATTTTCTTCCCCAATGAAGCAAAATCACATCAGTTTCTGAAATAACTGGTACACAGAAAACGCAGGGCCGATGGAAGTGCTGGCACCAAAGAACCTACAAAAAGCCCCGCTGGTTCAGCACCCTGTCCGGCAGCTCACAGGAACTCCCTGGCAGGCCAGGAGTGCCACTGCCCCCTCCCGCCCATGCTCCCCAGCAACTGGGGTGCACAGGCCTAATGAGGGTAAGTCTACAGCCATCAGGACCAATAGCTGTTGGCAGCCGCCGCCCCCATTAATTTGTTCCAACCCCTTCTAAAGCCACCCAAGGTAGTAGCCATCTCCGTGCAGCTACTGGGACAGAGCAATTTTCCTGCACAGCCTTAATGGAGCTTTTTCCAACTTAACTTTTATTCAAAAAGTTTAGATAGCAATGCAATCTTACAAAAAAAAAAAAAGAATGCTCTGATCTCAAATGAAGTCACTAACTGGCAACAGTATATAAAGAAAAGTAATAGCATTATTGGCACTTAATATAATTTTCCAAAGTAAACATTCAAATTATAAATGAACTTTCAGACATCCATGACTTGATCATGATATATACCCATGCAGAGGATAGAGGATTTATTTATATTAAAAAAGGATTATTCTCTTTAAGAACACAGTCGTGTACAGACTTTGGTAGCAAAAGCTTGTTTCAGCTTTTTTAAATGAGTCTTCTCAAGTTGCATTCTTAGCTATTGTCACCTCAATTTAGCTCATGACAAGGATGTGACCAGTGTCCATACTGCGTTCCATTTAATGAAATTGGTCCAGTTTAGTTTAAGGACTTAGTTCTAACCAGTTTACGTTCTATGGAAAACACAGCGTGGAAAGCTGCAATTGTAAAGGAAGAATGCAAGAAACAAAAGAAATGGTACAACCCTCTGGACGAAGTGAGGCTACAAGTCCAAGAACTACAATTGCTGCGGCTCTGGCTCACTGCTGGCTTGGAGCTTGGCCTTCTGGACTTCGAGTTCCTCCGCACTGACCATGGAGGGGTCAATTGCAGCGTACCTGGTACCGTGGAACTGGAGTAAGTGTACCTGCGGAAAGAACAGGCCAAGTTAGGCTTTGCCGTAAGCTCCACAGCAAGTTCAAAATCTTTCCCCTGGGTAAGATAAGCAGGACTCCACCTCCAGGGAGCGACAGTCCAAATGCAGCATGCTGCACTCGGCAAGAAGCGCTGGACCAGTGGGCACAGGCATAAAAAGCTGTGCCCGCTGGCCCAGGTGGGCTTGCCTATTGATAAAAGGGCTGCCGGGCAAGTCACAAAGCTCACCTTTCCCAGACAGCAGTAACTGGCCCAAGAGAAGTACAAACCAGGGGAGGGTCTGAGCTCCAAAACCCCCAAACTGAAGCTTATTGAAAGCGTATTATCTCTTTATGGTGCAGGTAGAAAGACATCCGTGTCCCCAGAACCCTGTCACTGCTTGCAGCCCAGCTGGAAAAAGTCCTCCTGCCCACTCTTTCCCACCATTTATGCAACTCACATCGTAGGGGGCGGGGCAGGAAAGGCCCTCTGCTTTGCTCATCTGGTCCTCCACCACTAGTGTAACGCTACCATTTTTGCACAAACCCCGTTCCGCCCCCGCCACCCGACAGTGCAGATACAGGGCCTCCCAACCTCGTGCCAACAGGAGAGAAGAAATGAGCAGCAAACTTACCTGGATATAGAGATTTACTTCAGCGCTTCTGCAGAGATAAGGAAAATTGCCCCCCGTCTTGAGGTGGGCTCTCCGGGCGCTCGGGTACAACTTATACATCTCTTCCTTTGCTTCAGTGGAAAGAGCACTCTGGTCGAACACCTAGAACACAGACAGCTCATCAGCTCTCGCAACCTAGTGCTGAGCCCCTTCTCTTTGGAAGCTTGGCTGTGGAATCCCGTTTGAGGACTTCGTTTCTCTCCCTGCCTGCAACAGCTCAGTGTGAATGGTGCCTCTGCTTAGCTTTCTCGTCCATTATAGATTCTGGCCATGTTCCCCCAAAGCTGAGGTCACTGCCAGAGTAAGAAACCTGAAGATATCCATAGCAGCTGCATAACTGGATTGGGACACACCTAAGCCGTGCCTCCCCAACTTGGTTTACTACAGAGATGCGTTGGATTCTGGCTCCCAGCATTCCCCATCACTGGTCATGCTGGCTGGAGAAGATGGGAACTGATGCCCAGAACATCTAGAGGCAACTAGGATGACGTGCTGTAAGTAATGGACCTCCAACCCGTGGCCGCAGTAAATGGCTGAGTAATCTGAAATGGCTGCTGATAGTTCACTCACATCTCATGGGACAACTACTTAATCCAAGGCTGAGTTTCGTCATCCATGAAAGCATGTATGCGTGACTCACCAAGCAGCAGCAGGAACTGCTGTAGCAACTCAGATATAAATCTTTTATCAGTACAGGCAGGTCATTCCAGCATCATGGGATGCACCAGGTGATCTGAAGTGCAGCCGGCTCTGCCTGGTGGACCTCAGGGCTCCAGCAGAGAAAAGGCAGTGGGTCTGCCTGCAGTCTTTTACTTTCTCCTTCATGGGACCCTTGGATTTTGCCCAACCGGTGCTCTTTCCCCAATTCCACATCAGCCAAAAGCTAAGAAAGATTGTACTTACATCCATGATAGTGACAGGAATGTCTCTGATTTTATGCGGTTCCACATAAGAATTCTGGCAATTGAGAGTAAGTCTTGAAGCAAGCTCGCTCTGACCCAGGCTTTCCAGCTTTCAAAAATTAGAAACAAAGAAAAACGTCAGAAGATGATGGTATTGGTTTGAGGTGGGGCAGTCAAGAAATAACCAAAGCGAGCAACAAGTTCACTTATGTAAAACATTTTAGCATCTATTAAAGCTGAAAAGCCTTCCAGAACAGGTTACGGAATGAGTTCAACCATGACTGCAAGTCCAGGTTGTCTCTCTCACAGCAACCAAGGGATCTGGGCTTGGGCATCTCAGTAAAACAGGCCAGGAATGGAGCACCCTGGGCTGTTTATCTTCACAGGACTAGGTGGTCAGCCAAGAAACTTCCATGCTTCCACTTGCCTTTTTAAGAAGCCACATCTTGTTAAGCTGTGGATTTCTGCAACATGCAAACTGGCTGAACAGAAACGAGACTGGCCCTGCCTGCAGGCTTATACAGTAAAAGACAAGGCACAGAAGTAAAACGGAACGAGAAGAGGAAGTGCGGAAATTATCCATCATTAGATGTTTCTAGCATGCAAAAGTTGAGAAGGAAACCGAACAAATATTTGTCTTTCACTTGAGAATCCTTACCCTATCGACCATGAAATCAATTCCATCAGCCATTTCAGGATCTACAGGACCAGATGCAAAGTTCCCAAGAACAATTTTCTTGAGCATAAAAGCAGGCAACAGCCAAAAACTGAAAAGAGATTAATACAGGGCAGTTTTAGTTGCTTTCCCCTGCCTCCAAGAGAAGCTGTCATGCAAAGCTGTTTGTATTTACTGTTTGCAGACTCATAGCACTTTAGATATTAAAGCCTGTACTTGTTAACTGTTTGCACTAAAGTGACAAGAGGCCCCATTTTGTTAAAATGCAGAGGACATTTATGGATTCTGAAAGCTAATTCTGAGAAATGCAGGACTTCTTGGTTTAAGAAACAAAACACCTTTTTTCAAAGACTAAGACTTGTTTGCCACTTGTTCCCCTACTAAGCATTCTTAAACATAGGACAAGGAATATTTATACTCCTCTAAAAAGCTAACAGGTTTATTTTGTCTGCATCTCACCTGTTTGCTGTCCAGGTCTGGTTGAAAATTGAGGTATCACTGAAAGAGTTGCACAAAATCAGAGACTGGACTCTCGGAGATTTATGGGTGTATTCGGCAAACTTCTGAGCAAGGAAGCCTCCCAAAGAAGCACCAAACAGATGAACCTAATTTAAAAGTAAAGATGCCTTAGAAGAATACTCATATTTACTATTGTTCTGCTATTGCTAGTATTATTGCTTTATTGTAGATGGAAAGCCGAGAGGGTCAGGCTTGCTTTTGATGACACAGAGTCCATGGCAGAAGGGAGATTCAGATCAGGGACCTACTGATTCATGCATCACTCTTAGCAAGTGAATTCTACCAGCTCCTCATATTTAGACATAAAGTAATGGTTCCAAAGCGAATAATTTTCTCTCTCACCACCTGACACCTGCCCATTATAATTTTACTCACAGAAAAAGCAAGCTATATTTGATGGAAATCCACTTGCTTTGCTCTGTAAACCAAGCTGGGATCCCTTTTTGAAGAAGGCTGATATAAAAGCACCGTAGCAGCACAATCCATGCATGTCTCGACAAAAAATGGCCTACAAATTGCAGCAGGACCCAGCCAGCCTTGCACACCCCTATGCCACGCTTCCAGCCATTACTATAAATTATTTCAGAGAATGATGGCAAGTTTTAATATTTGACTAAAAGCAAGTTTAAAATTAGCACAAGGGTGCAATCCTATGTATGCTCAGCAGAAATAACTATTACAACTTCCAGCATGTCCCAGCCACCCAAGCTTAGGATTGCGCCCTAAGTTATATATTTCAAGTAGTCCTGAACAAGCAAAAACACATGAATCTGAAAGGGGAACAAAAAGACATACTCCCTATTTGTGGGAGCAGTTAATGTTACTCTTAATAAACTCTAGGCTTTTTACCTAACATTTTTACGGTAAGCACAGGCTATTTGTCAATCTCAGGGCACTAACTTTATCCAGCTGTAGATGGTCTAACAGTTTTCTGAATCCATCGCAGAACTCAAAAATTTCCCAGTAAACTGGATACTGCAACTAAAATAATTAGAAAGGTACATTAAAAATATATTCCAGGATATAAATATACAATTTCAGCCTCCTGCACCTTCTGGCATCTGTGTCAGTGGTAACTTAAAAGCCAGCTAGCACTTTTAAGCACAGATGCATTTGCATCCTGGCTGGGGAAATGAATCCTATCTTGTGCTGGGTTGCAGCATGCTATAATCCAAGCTTAACTGAAATCCTATTATTCTCTAAATGGAAACTAATGCATAACACGTGCTTGCAAAGTCAGTCCCACTTTACATTTTCAAAATCCTGTTCAAGTTCTACACTGTGATCATCATTGTGACAGCTCGGGGCTGGCTGTTGCAGCCCGGAGATTACAATACAATAGTCTGCGCTTCAAAATGCAGCCCAGCCAAGGTTTTCCCAATGTTACTCAGGCCTAGTTAGTCTTCAGGGGAAGACAGTTACAATGAGCTTTACTCCGATATATGAAATTGTGCAGTTGTGCAAGGGTGTCCTTGATTGGTCACTTATCATCACAAACCAAAGAGAACTCTCGCAAGATATAGTGGCCCAAACTTTTCTGCCTTGAGTCTTAAGCCAGCCTACATACTTCACTGTTATAAACATATTGCCTGAATTCATAACCTGGGGGGAGGATTAGATGGTGATTCAGAGGAATGATTTTCCACTGAAAAGAACATCAAGGTTAATATTTAGCAAACTGAAAACCTGGCATCAGATTCAAAGTAAGTTTGAAAGACAAATACATATAAGAGCAAGATGGATCTTTTTTCCTGTTGTCTCTATGAGCAGCTTTCCAAGAAAGGCAAGCAGGGAGCCTGAAACAAACTGTGGCTCACTAGCCAGCCTTACAAAAACATAAAAGGTGTGAGTTTTAGCTTGGGCATTTGCTCAGCTGCTGAGGGTTGTACTGGCGGTGCTGAAGATACTCACAGCAATGACTCTGTAGCCCCACCCAGAGAGGGCTAAAATCTGCTGAAAGAACACATCTGCAGTTCCACTGACAGGCGGGAGAAATATAAGGGGGCACCGGATATTCCGGGGCCCTGCATCATAAAGTGACCAAACTTTACTGTCATCATCATCTACTATGATCTGCAAAAGAAATGGAGAGGAGGCAAGATTATAATTCCTTACCAGCAGCTACTTTTGATGCATGTAATACTACTTCTGGGAAAGATGCTGCATGCACATTAGGTTTTCCTTGAACTAAGTCCTCCCTGAGTTCTTCTCTCAAAAAGCAGTTTTTAATAAAGCACAAAGCAGTTTGTTTTTCAAGGGAAGCTGCTCTTTGGATTCAGGCCTCCAGTCTTTCACCGACTATTCCAAGTTGCTTTGAGCCATTATACATAGAACTGGAACTGTACAACAAGATTCTTTGGGCCAGTCACAGACTCTCAGCCCAACCTACCTCACAGGGTTGTTGTTGTGGGGATAAGATGGAGGAGAAGATGTAAGCTGCCTTGAGCCCTTTGTGGGAAAAAGGCAGGATATAAATCAATCAATCAATCAATCAATCAAAATTCTTCTGACAAGAACACAGCCAAGTGTTGTGGGGAAAGTGCTGATCTGACATGCATCAATGTGTTTCCCCACGCCAGGGAAATCTTCTGAAACATGTGCTCACAAGTGTACAGATCCTGAGAGAGCTCTCAGCAGGTATTCCCCAACATCACACAGTAAAGCAGGTCTCCATTTTAGCCTCACAACATCCCTGTGAGGCAGCTTGGGCTGAGAGTCTATGGCTGGCCTAAAAGTCACCCAGTGAATTCCATGGCTGAGCAGGGACGAGATCTGCTCAGTCCCAGCTCCACTCTTAACCGCTGCACCACGCAGGCTCACTCGCTTGCACATGCGCGCGCTCTCCCTTTCTGAAAATTACCCGTAAGATCTCATATCTCTAGACATTCCAGGGCCTCCCACAAGTCTCTCTCTTCCCATTCCCACATTTAACATTTTGAGGGTCAACATAGCTAGTGTGGGAAAACTGCATGGGAAATTCCTGAGAGGTCTAAGAACATAACTCTGGACCCCAACCACCTACAGTTCCTTAAAGCACAGAACATTAGCTTGCTTCTTCAATACACAAACCTCAGAGAGGTTCCCAAGGTGACCCTGCAGCTGAGGTTTTGGCTGTGTGTCAGTATACAAGTTGTGATGTATGCATGTAGCCCACCATCACGAATGAGCTAGAATGGTTAAATAAGAATCAGTCACCCATTATCTGAATTAGAAACTGATCCAAGTAAAGCAGCTACAAAAGAGCATAATGTGGTTTTTAAAAAAACAAGAAGAAAAATTATAAAATGTGTCTCTTTAAGAGAAAACAAAGGATAGAAAAGTTCCCTAAACACAGACAGGGATTTAGAGTTAGAAAAAGCCTTCTCTTCCTGGAAAGATCCAACTCAAATGTACTTGGGAGAGCAGAAACAATCAAGTCCCCATTTTAAATAGTTAGGCACTGCCAGATTATGGTTTTAGGAAAGAGATATCAGCGCAGTAACACCCTTAGGGGCCTAAGGAAGGATGTCATAGGCAGCTTCTCTCTCTTCCATCCCTACCCATATTAGACATAGATTTGGTCCGGATCCGATTGCACAGCTCAGTGGCTGAATGCGTTCAAGAGCTGAAGAGGAAAAATAAGCAATGGAACACAGACTCAAATGGAGGGAATGACACAACTAACCTGGGGCAAACAAGGGAGGGATATGTAATGTCTGTGTATTTCTAATCTTCTACCATTAGGGCTTTTGGAAGAGTGAGGTGGTTAAAAAAACTGTGAGAAATAAGCAGCCAGGATATCCTCCGGAAACTACCTGAAGATGAGAAAATGAATTTGCTTTGAGGGCGACTCTCTCTTATGAAGTTTGTTATCTTTATAAAAAGAACCCTCCTTGCAGAAACACACAGCCTTTTCTAACCAAAAGTAAACTAATTATCTTCTCTGCCCACCCCTAAATATCTGGGGTGAAAAAGAGCTATGTGGGGTCTAATCAGACCTGCTGCTGGATAAATTTTCCCCTCACAAACAAAGCATAGCAATTTCACAGTATGATTGCTGTGTGGGCTCAAGCAAATCAGATGATGCCACCCCAGGCCTCCTATTTACCACAATGAACTCTTTCACCCAGATGAAGAGATCACGAGAAAGTTAGCTCAATGCTTTCGACAAGGTTGCAGTGGTCATTCAACCAAGCAGCAGCTATTTGAATTGTTGCAATTCATGTCAGTGAACAGCTTATCAGAAAGGAAGCGAAGTTTAAAAGAAACAGAATGAAGCTGAATTTTTTTTTTGTGGGCGGTCCAAATCTGCACTTTCAGTGTATGGGCACTTTCATCCTTTCACTGCAAGATGAAACGTTGAAGTGGCTGTGCTGTTTTCCCTTATTAAAGCCTCTCCTTTGTTCATGGGATTAAATTTAAATTACTTGAAGGACTGCCTTAATTTAATTATAATATCTATATTCCATCCTTCAACTTTATCAGCCAGCACTTTAAAAATCAGTAAGAAAGGGCCTTTTCATTTTCCCACATGTGATGACAATTAGGAGGATAGATATACAAGACAGGGCCTTTTCAATACTGGCCCCACATCTCTGGAATCCTCCAAGCTCCATCCAATTGGCTTTCAGTAAGGCTCTAAAGACCGACTTCTTCACTCTGGCCTTCTCCTGATTATGTTTCATCAAACTGGGTCATAGCAGAAATTGTGCTGTAGGTCCTTTCTTATGCTGATGTTTGGTGTTTTGTGAAACTTCTGCTGCTTTTATTACCTTATAGGTTTACTTTGAATTTTAAAATAGGTAGTATGTTATATATGGTATCTCAAGGGCTCCTGCCCCAAAAGACAGCCTATAAATATTTTGAATAAGTTAATGAAGAACCAGGTTGGAGCAGATCAAAACTTTATCTAGCCCTGCATTCTGTTCCTGCAGTACTCAACCGGATAGCCAGAGGAAGCCCACAAGTGCGCCATCCCTGATTAGGGGTGTATTATAGGAAACATCATTTGCAGCCACTAATGGCCTTATCTTCCATCCAAACTAATAGCTATATTCTCTGGTAGCAACCTCCATGGTTTGGGGTCCTGCTTACTATGCAGCAGTTTTCATATGTCAATTCCAGGGCACCAGAGGCTCATTTACAGCAGGGCCCCTGATTCCAAGTCCCACAACAGGTGCTTGATACTGAAGATAACAACAAACACTGTTCTATACTATGTATACAGTGGTATCTTGGCTCATGAACTTAATCCGTTCCAGGACTCTGGTTGTGACCAAAACTGGTCGTGAACCAAGCCAAATTTCCCCATAATGGTCAATGTAAATAAGGTTAATCCGTTTTGTAACTATTTTTTTCTAATCACAAAAATTTGAAGCAAAGTGACAAAGAGCAACAAAGATCACGGCCATCTTCCCCCCTCCCCACCGCCCAGCGATCGTGTGGGGGGGGGTGGGGGGAGATGGGAGTGATCGCGGGTGCACTGGGGGGACAGGCATGGGTGCGCTCAGACAGGGAACACGGGTGCAATCGTGGCCACCCCCCCCCCAGCACGACCGCGATTGCGCCCATGTAGGAAACGCAGGCACGCTCGCGATCATCACCCGATGCAGAGTTCGTGACCTGCGGCAAAATTTTTATGAAATTTCTGTTCGCAATCCAATCTGGTTGTGAACTGAGGCGTTCATGAGCCAAGGTACCACTGTACATTTATTCTTCACAATTTTGTTTGTTCTTACCTCAGCATACATTTTTTTCTTTCCCTATTAAATCAAGAATTTCTGCTTACAGAAAGCACTTTAGGCCAAGGGCAACCGTGGCTAACTGAAAACACAGTAACTGAGCCAGTGGATATGGGTGCCCTGTTCTACGTCCTAGAGCTGGGTCAATGTCAGAGGGCAAATAGAAGACAGACCTACCTTTTTAAGGGGAACTGTACTTCTGAACCAGTTATAGTCTGGAGAGATTTTAATCTCTCCCATGATGGTAGTGAACCCAAGGCAAGAAATCCCTGAAACACACAGAAGAAATGTTTCAGATGAAGAATGCAAGCTTAAAACTAAAAACACAGACATATTTACATACGGAAAAGATTCAAGATAAGCCTGCTTTCAGCTCCCGTCTATTTTTTCCCCTTCAGATCTGTTTTACTCAATTATAACCCACACAGGGCAAAGAAAAAACCTACAACTCCCAACATGCCTCATCCGGCAATACTGGCTTAGGCTACGTTGCGGGCTGCTGGCCTTTCCTCTGTCTAAACTTGAGTAGAACTACACTTAGTACAAAAAATGGGAGGGGAAATGAGGAGAGAGAAGAAAAGCAGAAGTTTTAAATGGTGAATTAAAATGTGCTTCTGAGGCTGAAAGTAGAACCTTACAAAGCGGTCAACTCTCTTCCAAACAATAAAGGGTAACTTCTACGAAGGGAACAGCACATAACAGATGATGAACCCCTGCTGCGGCTTTGCGTAACAAATAAGTCAGCCAACCAAGACAACACATTCTGGTTATGATTATGAGTCAAAGACTGGCAAATGCTAACAACAAACAAAACGCCACGACAAAAACCTTAATATAGTCTGCATCTTCTAACAAGAGCTCTGTATCTTTTATGATTCCACATGAGCAAAGGTCTGCATGGAATGGATAATGAACTTCCTGAGAATCCAGCCTAAATGTTTCACTCAATAAATGATTACACTTGGGATTATAGAAGTGCATTTAAAACCCTGTTACAGCAAACTCCACGTTCAGGATAATTAGGGAACTGCTAATGTCACATTGATGGCAAAAGAAGAAGGGAACGGCAGAGGATGAGGTGGCTGGATGGAGTCACTGAAGCAGTCGGCGTGAGCCTAAGTGGACTCCGGGGGATGGAGGAGGACAGGGAGGCCTGGAGGAGTGCATTCCATGAGGTTGCAATGGGTTGGACACGACTTCGCAACTAACAACAATGTCACATTTCCTTTATACAACTCTATGGTCAATCACATTTAGAATATTGTGTAGAGTTCTGGGTGTCACAGCTGCTCTGTTTCTCCTGAGCTATTTCGCTTAGTGCTCCTATTTGCCAGACTATGACACAGAATTGAAAACAGAATGTGTGCTGAATATGAAGACTTATTTTCAATACAAGGTCACTTTAGATGGAAGTTACCTTTTGTTGGTAAATAAATCCAGGGAGCTATTAAGCCCAGAGTGTGAATTAAACAAATATTTTCACAAAATTAGCATAACCTATACGGCTACAAAGTTTTCTAGAAATAGTGACTTACTTTTCTGGCCACAATTACAACAGACATTGAATTTATCTGTAGCACAGCTAAGAAAAATGCAGAGGGCAAAACCTGGCACTTGATGTAAAACATTACAAGGAAATGCCTCAAAAAGAGGAAGAAGCTGTTTACCCACTCTAGGGAAAGCAAGAAAAATGAATCTGTAGCAAAACAAAGGAGCTAGGTTCTAGCTACCACCTCACAATTTCCATCTCTCAACACTACTGAATCTAAACTCTTCAAGTTGGATTCAGTAGCATTCTATTAAATGTCCCACTTGCAACCCCTTCTTTACCGATATGCCATGAACCAACTAATTCAGCCAGCCTTGACCCCTCAAGCTCAATCTTGATAAACCAATGACATGATCCTAGAGAATTTAGAAAACCAAGAGTGAGCCCTATGGGAAGTTAGCCAGCGTCTCTACTAAAATCATCAAGAAAATTCCAAACATTGTTTCCTATAAGGAAAAGTATACTAAATTTGAGCTAGGAAACACTAGGAGAAAAATAATGTGACATATGAACCACAATTACAGAAATGTGCCTTCCACTTACCTGCTAGCTCTAGTCATAAAGTCGCTGTTGATCACCTAAGTATGGAGTGAAGCACAGTCAGCTGTTCTGAATTATGAAAAATTCATTCTCACAATTCAATTGCTTGGGACTTCTATTTCAGAGGAACAGCTCCAAGTCCCACCAGGTACTGCTTAGAACCCTACATTCCATCCTTCTGCATACATTCATCATAATCCGCTCTGAACATTCTGCAGACTCAATATTTCTGCTTCTTTAACCCATGCATTCCAGACTTCCATTCGGAGAGTGAAATCCAAAGGATTCTACATCGAGATGCTTCAGGCTATTCACACACTTTAATCATTACAACTAGAAGTGATGCACACCTTTGTGCAGGCCTTTACTATTTCAGAAAGGCCTTCCTGGCTGAGTGAGGGAGCACATCTTTGTAAAGGGAAGGCCTACAGTCTAGTTTGTGTGTTAGCCTTCCACACATGTTGGATCCAGCCCTACTAGCTGGGAATGAGGAGCGCTGAACTGGAAGGCTATGCAGGATTAAATCCTTCAACTTGCTGGCTGGGGAAAGCTAGGATTTGCAGAACTTATTTCTGCCTAATGTGCATAAAGTCGTGTCCTTAAAGTTGCAATTGGCCACAGTGCTATAAGCAATTATAGTTGAAGAAAATTTCTTAAGCTGACTCATAATTCTTAAACACCCTTTCAGAGTACCTGTACACTCTTACTACAGCACCAGTGTAAGGTGTTTTACAATGTAATGGGAAGAAAAGCACAGGTCTTTGCCCCACAAAATTTACAATCTAGAATTCTGGCAGATGGCAAAAACAGTAAGGAAGGAAAAAACAGAGGAAGGTGTAGGAAAGCAGACCTGTATTCTCCACCTGAGTTTCAGCTTGAAATGAGAACCAAGGGGTCAAGCCAGGATCTAATGGTGCACGTTAAGATACAGGAGAGCAGACATGATCTACATGAAAGACTCAACAAAGCAAAACAAAATGAATACTCATTGCACTAGAAATGAATCCCCACTGAACACAGCACACCTTGCTTCTTCATAAACATGCACTACTAAGTTTGCTTCGCACACACACACAATATGCATACATTTAGCACTCTACACAGTTAAGATTTTCCATGTAGGCGCCCACCAGTGGGAGGGAGAAAAGGCACATTCATTAACTTGACATGCAAGCCAAAATCTGCGTTCTCGCATCTCATCTGCAACCAGGTCCTGTGACGCCTTCTGTTCGCCTCTGAGGGTCCTGCACGTCCTTCCTCAGAGTGCAAACTTCCTACGACCACCCCCAAATGACTCAGGCACCCTTCACACGGACCCCCTGGCCCTCACTGAGGTACACCAGCAAACTGCTGATTTACACACGCACGTGCATGCACGCACTTCTCACGGCAGGTTACGTCGAAGCACGCCGCGCCCGTCATCCTCGCAACCAACCGGTGAGGCAGGGCAGGCTGAGAGACGACGAGCAGCCCCGGCTTACCCAGTTCTTAAGCCCAGGTCACCCCACAGTAACGGGGCGCCTCATGTGCCAGGCCTTCCTTGCCCCACCCCCCGCGTCGCTTTCAAGGCCTCGCAACAGACCCCCAGCCCCACGCCCTGTCTGGGGCGAACTTCTTCGCTCAGCGGGGCGAAGCAACGTGCCTCGGGGGAGCCGGCGGCCCCGAGCCCCCCAGGTACGACGCCCCCGCGCGGGGCACGTACCTCTCCCTCAGGCACGGGACAGCCCGGAGGACGGACCGAGCCGAGCCCCTCCCCCGGCAAGAGCGTCCCAACCGCCACTTCCCCGTCTCGCGGCGCGCCGAAGCCCCGCCCCGCACTTCCTGGAATGGGCGGGCCTCAACCACGCGCACGCCAATCCTGTGAAGCTACGCGCAAAGGGATTGGACGGAAGGAGGAACAACGGCTTGTGTTGTGTCACGTGGCTTAAACCCTCCGCACATGCGCGGCGAGCCTCCCCAGGCTTGAGGGGCCGCTTGCGAGGCAGCGCTCCTCCCAACTGAGGACCTTGGTGGTGGTGGTGGTGGACAACCATGCCCAGCCGCCTCGCCTTCGCCCCCGCTTAGCTGGGGATGCTGGGAATTGAAGTCCAGCTCATCTGGAGGACACTCGGCTTGCGGGAAGGCTGCCTAAAAGACCGAAGGTGAAGAGCTTTGGATGTTGTGTGATCCAGAAATGAAGCAATACCGAGTCCCTTCATTCTGGTTTAAGCCTTCTGGTGTTGACGGTGAGAACTGTAGGATAAAACTGTGGAGGGCCACAAGCTACCCACTCCAGGGCCTGAAAAGTCCTGTGAGGAAAGTGTGGAAGGAACTGAGTATGCTTAGCCTGGAGATGATCTAGCAGTCTTCAAGTATTTGGAGGAAAGCCTTGCAGATGATGGACCAAATTATATTTTCTGTCTGCTCTGAGACAAGACCCACACCACCAGGCTCAAATTACAAAAAAGGGGCTCTTGACTAAGTATTAATAAGAGTTATCTGGCATTTGAGCAGTTTGATGGTAGCCCACTTTTCAGGATGAGCATCCTCAAAACGTTTGGCCTGATTAAATAGGTTAAGGTGTATTCATGTCTGAGCAGCAAAAAAGGGGAGGGCGGGGAGGAGAAGCCCTGCAACCTTAAGAGTGCATGCTTGGTCTTTAATGTGCTGGGAGTTGTGTTTTTCCTGCAATAGAATAGAGCTGCCAGGCTGCTGACGGGGACTGGGCGTTGTGTTCACATGACTCCAGTTCTCCGTCAGCTTCACTGGCTTCCCATTGAAGTCCGGGCCCAATTCAAGGTGTTGGTGATGACCTATAAAGCCCTAAACGGCTTGGGTCCTGGTTACCTGAAGGAGCGCCTACATCCATATCTGCCCGCCTGCCCCTTGAGATCAGTGGGAGGGACCCTTCTCCAGGAACCCTCCGTGAAGGATATTAGGAGGGTAAGTACTCGGAGGAGAGCTTTCTCAGCGGTGGCGCCCAATCTGTGGAATGCGCTCCCCAGAGAGGTCCGCCTGGCGCTGTCGTTATTTGTTTTTCAGCGCCAGGCGAAGACCTTTTTATTCAAGTGGCATTTTAACTGTTAATATTATTGGATTTTATCTGGCCAGGGCGGCTTATTTTATACTGTATTGTTGTATTTTTAATTTAATATTTATATTTTAATTTATATTATTATTATTTAACTTAGTGATATAAGCCGCCCCGAGGCTTCGGCGAATGGGGCGGCATAAAAATGTTTTAATAAAATAATAAATAAATAATAAATAAATACATTTAACACTATGATCATCTGTCTAGGAACAATAAAGTTTTTCCGTTACACAATTTTTATTGTGTAATTTTTTATCTTGATGCATATCTTGCCTTTCCTCCAAAGAGCTTGGGGGATTTTCCCAACAGCATTGCACTCCCCATTTTTTAATACGCTCTTATTACTTTTTTAGTACAGAGACAACTACTGTTTTACTTACATATTAACTTCTTCGATTGTAGTTTTTCCAAAAAGCAGATCAGTAAGTTTATGTGGTGGTATAGGATGCATTTGACTTATTACTGTAGTGTATGATCTTTCTGGGTAATCTATGTATATTGTATCCGATTTATTTATGGACTCTCATGTCACCAGTGATCTATATAACTTTGTAAATGTAACTGCACATCTAACATTATTTGCTCCAGGATCATTCTCTTGCAAAACTGGTGCTTCGGATTTTATTAGGGATATTGTGAAGAATCTTTCCAAAGCAATAGTTCTTTTATTTGTCCACCCTTGTTATAACTCATAACTCATTTCTTCTGCAAAACCAAGGCTCTCCTTGCTCCGACGGTATACCTCTTTTTACACTGATTTTTATACATTTATTATTTAAAAATATTTCTTCTGGTTACACTGCACCCACCACCTGCGCGTGGAAAACCCATAAGCGGAACAGGGCAGCTTAAATTAGGCTCCAAGGGAGTTCGGTTGATTCCATTTAACGACGGCATTTCAAAACACATTTGCAACCAGTTCACTAGTCCTGTTGGAGGAGGGCGTTCAAGCTAGCTCGCGATACCTGACGCACCTTCCGACGACTCCGCCCCCCCACGCACTACAGTTCCCAGCATGCATTTCTACTACGGAAGGCCCCGCGTCCCGTCTTCTTTTTCTTTCCTCTCTTCCCCCGCCCTTCCCCTTTCTTTTTTCCTGGACTGCCAATCCCAGGAGGCTGCGCGCGCGCGGGCCGGCCCAAGCAACCTGGGAGCTGGCGCGGTGCAGGCCGGGAGGGCGAGTTCTTAGGGCGCGCGTGGGGGGCAGTCTGTGACGCTACCCAGGGCGTCGAGCGCTCGGGAGGTGACAGTCGGCGGTGTCGGGCCAAGGCCGAGCAGAGGCGGCGGCTGTTTGCTCGACGCCAGGCGCGCTCGTTCCGTGGCCGCGCGTGGGCCAGGCGCGAGGGGAGCACGGCCATGGCCGCCTGTAGCACCTGCGCGGCGGCTGCGCGGCTCCTCAGCTCCTCTCTGCCCACGGCGCGCAGAGGTAACGACGGGGGCGGGTGGGCGCGCCTGGCTCGGATCGGGGCCGGGCCGGGCCCGGATCCCTCCCCTCAGGCAGGGAGGCCTCGCCGTCGCAGGCCTGGGCGACCCCCGCCCGCAGGCTCGACCTCCGCGGGCCTTCCCCTCTCGCTAAGGGGGACCGTGCGCGGCGAGCGATGCAAAGTGCAAGTCTCGCCCCAGAGGCCGGTGTGGGGAGGCTTCCTGCGAGGAGGCGAGTTCCGGTGGCGCTGGAGGCGACGCGGGTGCCGCCGCCCTGCCTTCGGGGCAGCAGCCTCGGTGGACGGGGGCCGCCGCGACGAAGGCCCTCGGGGGTGGGGATCCCATCGGCCGTGCTCCAGCGGGGCCACCGGAGGGGCGCCCTCCCCCCAGCACTGTGGCGTGTGGCCTGGGAGGCTCAGGGGCCCCTATCGCAAACCGCCTCCGTGGCTCCAGGGAGGCCCAAAGCAGCGTTTTCTCCCCTTTCCTGAAGATCACCCAAAGGTGGCTTAAGTTGATGGTCTCTCTCTGTCTGTCTTTCTTTTTCTTTGTGCTGAATATAAGCCAAAAGAAATCCACCTCGCCCCTTCCTCCCAAATTGGCAGCATAATATTAGTTTGTCGGACAGGCTTTGTGTTTAGGAGGGCCTGCGACCCACGATGCAATGTGGTTGCAATGAGGGCCAGTAGCTCTCCCATTTCAGGGGATTAAGGGCATCCTATCGAGGATGGCAGAATGCAGAGGCACGGGTGGCCCGCTCGCACTACAAAATCCATCTTTTGTACCAGCTTGGGAGAAAGGCAGGAGAAGACACTCCTGGCCCTTCTCTCCCCTCGATTTCCCCCATACACACCAGCTCCGAGGTCAGTCTCAGGAGCTTGGACCTGCCCCCCCCCCCGCAAAAAAACTGCCATCCGCCAGAATTCCAGCTGCAAAGCATGTGTCCGAGGTCCAGAGGTGGGAATTTGTAAGACCATCCAATCAATGTCTAGCATCTGTAGGTTCATTCAAGGGAGAAAAGTTCTACAACTTCTGGCATTTCCCAGCCAATGGAGGACTTTTTTTTTTTTTTTTTTTGGTCTAAAGGTGTGTAGGATTGCACCCTAAGCTACCTACTGGAGAATCCTGAGTTGCTTGCTTGTTCTGTACTAAACGTATTTAGCATTACAGTTGCGTACACATTTACCTTGGATTAAGCTGCATTGGACATGTAGCAGCTCCAGAAAATCCAAGGCCTAGGGCTGGGGACTGGATGTTTCTCTCTGCTAGGTAGAAGTGTGGCAGGCACAACTGTTGTGAGGTGTCATTTAGTATTGTTTTGTTTGTTTGTTTTGACTGTGTTGCTTCACTATAATTGTGTTTTGTTTTAATAGTTTTTTTTTAAATTTGTTCATAGACTCCCTTTAGTCTAGCAAACCTTCTCATGCTGTAGCTTTTTTGATTTTTGGAAGGTTCTCTGTCTACAACCTGTTCTTGCTGATTAATCAACTGGCCTTGCTGATTAAACTTTAAAAAAATGGAGTCCTAAATGCTGTTTCAATGTCCTCCTCCTGCATCTTTTATCTTCCTTTCAATGGCAACTCCAGCCTGATATTCCAATCCTGTAAATGTCAACTCAGGGATAGATCCAGCTGAGTTCAGGAAGGCACCTCCCATGCAAGCATGTAGGACTGCAGCATAAAGCATGCTTGAGTTCAAGATAGTCCTGCAAATATGCCTCCCAGTGGGGTGCTGTGAGGAGAAGGCACACAGGGGACTTTGTAATATTGCTTCATGTAGGCCAGGGGTCATATTCGGTACAGTGAAATTTCCAGTCCCAAGCCCTAGGCCTTGCTTCTTCAGAAGTTGTTATATAACTTCAACCTGATGTGCTGATGCATGATTTCTGGGCAAAAAGGTAGCTTCTGCTACCATCACTGTGGCCAGACATTAGTCAGGCATTGCTGTGAACTAATAGCAACGCTTGAGTAATGTACAACTCCTGATTTTCTTCCTTGACCTGGAACATCTCAGAGAAGATAGTAAACTAATCAAAAACCTTTGCATGAAAATCTTGCTTGCATTTGATTTGGTCAGCTATTGCAAGCTGAAAAGTACTGTTTGTATTTCTACCTCAATTCACAGGTGATGAAATAGCAGATGTTCCTGCTGTATATAATGGAGAAGGGAGTTGAGAATCTAGGTTCTTCATCACAAAGGAGTACATGCAGTTGAACATGCACATGGAGACTGTACAAATCCCCTATAGCCCCCACCCCAGTGTTCAGCATAGGAAGTCTGAGTATCTCCATAGGTTGCAGTATGTCCCCAGCTTCTATAGGCTTCACGGGCCAATTCTGTGGCTCTCCTTGAATCTTTCTGTAATTCTTCATTAGCCCTATCCCTACTTTTGCCAGTTCCTTAGAATGTCAGCTTGAAATGAGATTTCTGTCTATGCAGATAACAGTCCTTTGACTGCTCGCTTGTGAATTTTTGACTGGATCTTCCCCAAAATAATTCAACAATAGATCATCCTTACAGCCAGGTTAAGAGTCAGTGCAGCGTAGGGCCACAAGGCTGGTGGCTGGTTTGCAGGGGATGGGGTATGGGGCAAGACTGAGGGAACTGGGTCTCTTCAGCCTGGAGAAGAGGAGACTCAGAGGGGATCTGTTGGCGACAGACAGGTATGTGAGGAGTTGTCACACGGAGGTGGGTCGAGACCTGTTCTCCCCTGCAGAGGAAGGCAGGATGCGCTCCAACGGAGCAAAGCTCAGGGAACCAGGTTCCATTTGGATGCCAGGAAGCACTTCCTGACAGTCAGGACCCCAAGGGTGTGGAATGGGCATCCACGGGAGGTCGTTGAGGCCCCATCGGTGCGGGTGTTCAAGGATAGGCTGGATGTGCACATGTTGCACATGCTGGAGCCAGGGGTCAGACTAGATGGCCCGAGAGATCCCTTCTGACTCACTCTGTTTCTGTGTTTCTTACTTTAAAAAATTCTTGCTGTGGCTTCCAACCTAACACCCACCATTCATTAACAGATTTCCTATGGAATGTTTACAGGAAGACTATAAAATGAAGCTGTGCCTAAGTATTTTCTCTTAGATTTTTGTCTGAACTAAAACCTCAGCTGAAAATGAACAACGTTCCGCACAGAGGCCCTATCCTTACTTCCAGCTTTATATATAGGTAGACATTGTTTACAGGTTTCCCACCTAGATTTAGCTTGCATTCCGAGGATGAATGCTGCCTGAGATTGAACATATCATCATTAGTCTTCCCATAATTATATACTAATCGTAATCTTAAGTGTTATGCATAACTACAGCTAAAGTGCAGACATGCAGTTCCCGAACAAACCTTTCTGGTTTGACTTGCCAGCTGTGCCCTCCACTGATTGGAACATTTTTAAACTCTTAAGTTTGATTACTCCTTCTGTTACAAAGCTGCAGAGAGGGAAAACTTTTGGAAAATAAAGTTGAAACACCCGAAGTGGCATCTTCTGTAAATGACTGATCTTGTGCTGCAAATCGCAAATGCAGATACGCATTGAAGTACAAGAATTGGTGGGTGAAGTGAAACTAAGCTTATTTCCTCTCTGGTGGGATAGTGTGGTACATACTTCCCCAGACTGCTGCCAACCAGATGTTTGGGCTCCAATTCATCAGTTCTAGCCAACATGGCCAATGGTCAGGAATGCTGAGACATCCAGAAGTTTGCACCAGGTTATGAAGACCTGTGTGGGAGATTGGTTGTTCAGTTCAGAGGTCAGCTGTCCTTTGCCAGTATTAAACAGCAGGATGGTTTACATTTTACAAATCCGAATTGCAAGCTATAGGCTGCAAAGTATGGCAGGAAAGAAAAACCATAGTTTGCTCAAGTGTGATCTCAAGCTTTGGTTTGTGCTGAACAGGAGGTAAAGAGTCTAAGCTTCATTTGACCTATGGTATTTAGAAGAAGCCCAAACATTCTTTGCATGGTATACATAAACATTGTAAAGCTAGAGTAAAACAATAAACCTTCAGTTAAACTGAAAAACTAGAGAATTCAGTAACATCAGCAAGTACATTCTTAGCCAAACCCAATGAATGATTCCTGGTAGAGAACGGCCTCTGCTGAACTGGCACTCATTCCTGTACCCAAAACAGATGTCGCACTCATTTTGGCAAAACTTGGTTGCTTTGCCTTGCCTTGGTACATGTGGGTTGAGTTTTCAATGCAATGATCTGTGGCCTAGCCCTCTCTGAATGTGGGCCGGGGTATCGCGCTGATGTCAGACCTCCAACCTTGTTGCAAGGTCACATCTTGGAAAACCATGATAAGCCTGGTGTATTTTCTGTGTTGATCAGAAAACATATCTGTGCTGACTTTCTTCAGGCCAATGAACTATCATTCTGCTGGCCTCATAATTTATATTTGTGTGCATGTGGGTTGTCTTTTGTTTGGTTGGCTTTATTGTTTTGGAAATCACTTCCCAATTTGTTTCCAATGACAAGATAACTGTTGTAAATTTTTAAAAATGTTCCCCTCCTATGCCTGTGTACAGATGCAGCAGACTGTATGCTGTGGCAACAAATCTGCTCAAATCCAACTACAGGCAGTCCCTGGGTTACAAGTTCCTGAGAAAATGGAAGTTCATCTTTAAGCCGAATTTGTATGTAAGTTGAATTACGTACAGTCGGCCCTCCGCATTTGTGGGGGTTGGGATGCAGGACCTCATGAAAGTGGAAAAACTGCAAATATCTCTAGCCCTCCCCTCCACCCAAACTCTCAGCACCTCCTCTTCCCAGCAAGTCAGTGCCAGAGGATTTCCCTCCAGATGGGCAGGGCAGGAGGGGATGCTTTGGAGGCCTTCCTCTCTGCCCTTCCACTTCCCCTCTCTCTATGGTGAAGATGATTTTCTGCAGTTTTTTTTTTTAATAGTAGGCATTATGGCAGTTTGTTCATAAGTATGGGTTGTTCTTCACTCAGACATTTGAAACTTGGGGACTGCCTGTATAACCCATTCATAAAGCAGCATTCCACCTCCTGTGCCACATTGCAGAGGCTTGCTCGCATGTTGTCTTTATGCTGATTGGGAAATAGTCCTTGGTGGAAGTAAGATTCAGGGACTTGACTAAAACAATGTTCCAAATAGTTGGTTATCTGTAATTCAAAGTTGTTGTTGTTGTACAAAACAAAGGATTTTTTTTTCATTTTCAGGTATTACATGTGGCCGTTCCTGCCTTCCTGTTTTAGGAATAATTGGGACTTTTGAAACCCAGTCTCTAAGATCTGTTCCCATTAGAACTTTTTCAGAAACACCAACATACTTTGCTTCAAAAGACAGTGCAAGCAAAGATGGTTCAGGAGATAGTGGAAAGGTATGTAAATATTTTTAAGTAGACTGTACTTCAGATTTGCATTAACTTTTGCTTTATTTAACCTATCATTTGTTCCCCTACCCAGGGCGAGTTTGGCAGATGATCATGTAGAGGATCGTGTAGTTTGTTTTCTTGATTCCTAGGTTATTTGTTTCCCCCCTCCTTTGTCTGCTTTCTCCCTGTATTCCAACATGCCTTTATGATTCTGTAGTATTGGTATGTGGAGTAACTGGTGCTTTTACCACCCTTGCTTACCACTCCTGTAGCTGGTGAAACAAGCCATGAACAATCCATAGTTGCAGGTTCACACAGAACACTCATGGTTTAACCAGCCTATTGTTCACAGCCTATTAACAAATCATGACTTCTTTTCTGGGTTATTTGGGGTTAAAAAAAACCCCAGATTGTTAGTTCTGCTGTGTTTGTACTTCATGATAAGCCCAAACTAACAACACATCCATTAAATAAACCATAAATTAGTGTTATCTGTATTAAGTCTGAATGTTCAAACTACCCAAAACATGCATGAAATGGTGTAGGGATTTTGTAGCCCATTGTAGGGTAGGAATGTAGGAATTTTAAAGTTCATGTTGAATCCATGCTGTCTTCCCACTGAATGATGCCTCATGCAGCTGCAGAGGAAATGAGACAATGCAGGCTTAGGTCAGGCAGAAGCCACACCATGGGTAAGGAGGCTGAACTATAAGCTGCCCAGGAAGGCCTCAGCAGTTATAGGCGGCCTATAAATACATAAATAAATAAATATAAACTGTGACTTGGTGTGAGACTGTTGTCTGAACTGATAAACCATGTTTGAGCATACCACAGGAGAAAGCGTAATGACCTTATACAGCTAAGTGGGTGGAAAACAGAAGCAGGCAAGAAGCTATGAAGTTTGAAGTCTGAACCTAATTTGCTGCTTGTATGTTTGGAAGCTCAGATCAGCATTTGGCCTCTAAATTATGAGATGGAATTCAGTGTGACATAGGACCAGATAAGTCCAGTTTAAAGTTGTAAAAATTGCTACCTCTTTAAATTCAGCATTTTGTTAGTTTTCCAATTTAAAATACTTCAACTCTGTTTTTATAGCAAAGTCACCTTACCTGTTGTAGGCAGGGCTAGTATCAGCATTGGTGTCATGAGCACCTGCCTCCCAACACCGACAGAGCTTCTGCAGGCCAACTGCCAGTCACGGGAGTTTCCTGGCCTTGGTCTCCCTGCTGAGGCCTCTCCACCACCACCTTGGCACCATTTAGAATATGAAGGGTTGCAGCTCATTTAACCATTTTCTTCCGCCATGTAAATGAGAAATTCCCAGTTAATAATTACTAGTAATCTTTTAGAGAATTAGCCAGGATCTACGCAGCTGAATACTTATCTTGACGCTAAACATTTGGCTGGAATTTGGCATGTCTGAGTGGACACAGCACAAGGAACAATTTTGGAGAGAAAGAGAAGGTGAAGTCCGAGCGGAGATTCAGACTGTTTCTACTCCATGCATTGTTGATGGGATGGGGTTAATGTGAAGTGTAGCAAATCAGCTGCTTGCTTCTAACATGAAATTTTTATTTCTTTCCCTTAGAAAAATGTTGAAGGCAGCAGTAAAAAGTCAGGTTCTGGGGGTTCTGGCAAAGGTGGAAACCAGCTGCGTTGCCCGAAGTGTGGTGACTTGTGCACGCATGTGGAGACCTTTGTGTGTAAGTTGCCCTAGGAGTGTCCTCTATAGAGTGACTTTCACAATTTCTGTAAAACAGTAACTGCATTGACTATATTAGATGTGTTTAGGTCAGTGCTCCCTGAATTGCAAATGCCATTCGTAAATGTGGGAGTAGATCCTGGAACAGCTTGGGGTAACATCCTAAAAAGTAAAGTGTTGTAAACCCATATGTTGTGGATTCATTATGAGCCTCATCACCCCTTGCATTGTTTACCCTTCTGTTCCATTTGTTGCATCAGCCCAATCCTGAGCAGAGAGCTTAATGATGGGTGAAATGCTTCTAAAAATATCTGTCGTTCATTTTTCCCTACAGCTGGTTGCTGCAGTTATGGTTTTGAATGTATTAGAAAATAAGCTCTGGGAAGTTCCTGTACTGGGTAGCTTTTTGCGATGGGTAAAGATTATATTCTTCCTAACCCATTTCTACATACTTCAGAGAAATCTTGTTATACTTGCTGTGCATTATCTGCATTTCTTCATCTCTCAAGGTCCATTTGATGGTGTGGTGGGTGTTAAAAGCATGTAACTCATTTTGCTCATTATAATTGCTAAGCGATGAATGGCCTCCTATTTTCTTCTTTGGCATCCTCTTTGTCTACTATGGAGGGGTGGGGCAAATAAAAGGACATGGCGAAGTTTTGAATGGCAGATATTGCATCTTATTACGGATTCTTGCAGGAAGCAGCTTTCAACCTAACCAGGAAGCAGAGTCAGAATGGGACTTAAAACAAGCGTTGCATCATGGATAGGGGTTTATTTCCTCCTAGCAGTCAGCCTTGGCATGATTGGGCATAACGAATGTCAGTTATTAGAAAGAGCCTCTTGGTGTGGCACCCTTAGGCTTGCACAAGCAGCTAGTGGTTTTTAAGGCAGACTCGATGTGATAAGGCCTCGCTGTGTGATAATTGCTTCCATCATGGGTTATCCCACTGTATCTTTGCTACCTTCCTGTGCGGTAGTTGCAGGGAGGGAGACTGTCCTAAAATCACCTGGTTTAGTTGTTGGAATATTTGCAACCCATTCTTAATCTGTTTTAATAAAACATGTAAAACATGTCAAGTATGTTTGGGCCTGATGACCTTTTGGCCCTTTCCAAATCTGCTATTCTGTGATTTTATTGAAAATGTTGTATAAATACTTAACAGCATTGATCAGAACAGCATAAATATGTCAGAGCAACACAAAGATATTCAGTCAAAGGCCAAGGTGACCCTCATTCTGTTTAAAAGCCAATGCAGATGGGACTTTTGGGTTTTAAGTATCATGGCTAAATAGGGAATAAAATGGAAATCTCCCTAATGCAAACCAACAGTAACAACTCATCCACACTGACTGCATAGCATAGAAAAGATGTTTTCTGATTAGATATAGCTGTGTGGCATTATACCAGAATGTAATGTAAATGGAAGCTCTCCAGGAAAATTTCTGCATAAACTTCTTGGTTTCTGTAGTCTCCTTAATATGGAGTTGCTCCATGTGGATAGAGAATTTTGGGTGTGCAGGGCCAAAAAAATCCAGCACCAGACCCATGGTTCTTAGAGAAAAAAGAATAGGAAGGCAATTAGGAAATTGGAGGTTTTGCCATTCTGTGCAGCACATGGCACCACAATGTTTAATGCTGGCTGTTAAGAAATTGAACTGTCCGTCAAGCCCTGCATGCATTTTGCAAGTGTTCTATTGGAACAAGGGACAAAACAAAATGATTTCTTGATGTGTGCTTTGCACATGCTATTGCAGTCACGGTAATAGTGGTAATGACACGAAAAACTAGAAGACTTGTATCAATAATTCTAAAAGCTATTTCTGATCTTCTGAAAGTGATTTGGTCCACTCTTTATTTAATTATATCCCCATATTTACATCCCATCTTTTTTTCCTTTCAAGGAACTCAAGGTGGCTTACATAGTCCTCCTCTCAGCCCTACCCTCACAACAACAACCCTGTGAGGTAGGTTGGGTTGAGAGTATGTGACTGGCCCAGAGACAGCCAGTGACCTCCATGGCTAAGTGGGGACTTGAACCCGGATCTCCTGAGTCTCAGTTCAGCGCTCTTAACCACTATACCACACTGTTTTGAATGCAGGGTTGTTGAAATGGGCTCACCCACCATAATTATTCCTAATCCCTTCTACTGAAACCATCTTTTCATACCACATATTCATTCAACCAGGGGCGGCACCTTCAGGGATTGTGAGGATTAATTTCCACCCCTGGGGTCTCGTTGAGGACTGTGCTTCTACCCCTGCTGAAATTTGGCAGCAACACACCATTTTTTAAAATACCGACAACAGTGGCAGGGGACACAGTAAAAGCCAACAGAGATATATATGACTCAGATTGGCCACCCCTGCGTTAAACCATATACATAATAAATTAAAGATGCCAATATGTGGTTTAATTTTAAAAAATAATACAAGATACAGTCAACACCTAAAACAAAACACATCCCACATGGTAGCTGCAGAAGATGCTGTATGGTAAAAACAACCACAATAAGACTGGATGTTCCTGTTGGAAAGTCCATTGAGATAAACATGCCCGCAATTTCTGGCAAAAGACACACAGAGAATACCCACTGGGGGGCATCACAGACTTGTTCTACTGCCACAGCAGAGGCTTATTTATTGCTCTCCCTCACCTGTTCTCCCGAGATGGCACCAGAGGGTCCAGGGAAAGAGAAGAGTCCAGGAGTTTCCCTGCCCTACAAAGTGATACATCTGAAGGAATGCAGCACAATGAATTATCTCACCCAGTTCATCAGCTTCTTGACTGAATCTCCTCTGGATTAAGTTTCAGCCTGTTACATTTCCTCACTGAGTTTCAGTTCCTTCTGAACAGACTCCAGACATTAGTTTATTTTTAAAGAAATGTATTAGCAAATAAAAGGGGGAACCATAAAAGAGGGGAGAAGATGAAGGAAGAGAAAGAACATATAATAGCCACAACTTGCATTTTCCATAATTCTTTAAAAGAGTAATTGAGGGATTTAATTGTTTCCTTTGAAATAGATGCATGCCATATCTAAATAAGCACCTGCTAAATAAGAGCTGTAAGAGATACTTCAAATGTAGCAAGAACAGTAAGATTTTCATTCCACTGAACAATAGTTTGTGAGTGTTTGGCCTTCATTGTTTTATCTCTCTCATTGCCTCCCTGGGATCAGATGATATGAATAAGAGAGAGAGTTCTGTTTTGTCCTCATACTGGCGACATCTCAACTCAAATTTTTGGATGACCTCTCTGAGCGGTTTGATGTAGATACGAAAGAGCATGAGAGACAAGACAGAACCTTGTGGTACCCTGTGGCCAAAAGCCATGGGAGAGAACATGAGGTTTCAAGCACCACCTTGTCTGGTCTTCCAGATAAGAATGGAACCACTGAAAGGAGATGTCAAGATACCCACCCCAGCCTGTTGGCATAGAAGGGAACTGTTGCCATTGGCATCGAAATCTACTGTGTGATGGGCTGCATATTTGTATGCTTTGCAAATCTACTGACATCGTTAATAAACGATGCTGCAGGTTCACCAAGTGCAGCAGGTGATCATGTCGTGTGAACCCAGTCTCTGTCTCTTTGTTGACTGAGGATCCCCTGTCTGTGCGGCGCAGCACACACAAAGATGTTGTAAGTAAACAGTGTGTGGGTTTCAGTAGGTCAAAACCAACTTTGTTTGGCATTTTGTTATGTGATCCTAAGCCATTAAAGGTGCAAAGGTCTGAAACAGACATTTTTCACATGACTGGTCTTTTATGTGGAGCAAATCATGTACCGTCCGCATGGGCCTGAGAGCATTCCAGGACAGTGGCAGGAGTTTGGACTGTCTTGCTGGAAGTTAGTTTTGTGTATGGTTAGAGCTCCATGGAGTGTAGCCTGATATTGATTCTGAGGGGAACAGTGGTACTTGAATACAGAGTTTTGTTTGTCTTTTATTGCCCTGGCTTTGAAAGATTTTTTTAAAAGTTGAACCTTCTTGGCAGGACCCGTCTGCAGCACCTGACTAATTGCGGTCTAATTAACTTATTATCTGCTGCAGTTTTATGCAGACTTGTTTGGAAAACTATCAGGCTGGGCTGTCAAAATTACAGCTTTCTTAATGAGGTAATGATGTGCCCAATTCGAGAGATTCTACACACAACAGAAAATAAAGTGCTGGTGGCAAAGGCTTGGTTCATGCGGTTTGTGCTACTGCACTTCAGTCATGGGCACATAAAGGGCCACTCCAAAATCCAAATGTGTTTTTAACTACACTGAGCAGAGCCAGGCCAGGGCTCACTTTCAGGGGCCTTGGTTGTGTGTATAGGACAGCTGGATCGTCTGCAAAGAAGCCATGGGGCCACCAGGTCAGTGAGGATAAAATGAAAGGGAAGATTATGTAAGCAGCCCCGGTTCCTCTGGAAAAGAGGGTGGGACCTGAATGTAAGCGATCAGTTGTGTTCATGTGTCTTTCAGGGGATTGGCGTCTCATTTTGGTATCAGAGCTGGCTGAGAATTAAATGCTTCAAGGGACAGAAAAGTGTGATGGTGGTGCTGGAATTTCCCTCTATGCTGACACCATGGACAGAACCCAGCCTGAAAAACCCCTTGGCTGTCTCACTGCTGGTGGTCAGGGGAAGGTTATTCTGAACCCCACTGATCAGATGCCTCCCTTGAGCCGTCCTTAGAAAGGTTTTTTTAAACAGGATCTTTAAATTTGTTTTCCCAAGCCCAGAGAGCACACAGATTTCCAGAACTTTGTTAAATACTCCTATATATGGGAGAGAATGTATTTGGGAAAGGTTGTTGAAGCGGTCGGAGGAAAGGAAGGTCATACATAGACTTTGAATAAAATAATACAGTCAGTGGACTTAGTTATCCCTCTGTACTTGAATAGACTCTTAGGTGTTAGTTCCAGCCTCCTTAAAGGTTTTGTATTTCATACCAAACAAAATAGCCAGGTCCGACAGGAGGCTATTGTGAAAGGAGGATTAAAAAGAGAATGTGGGTTGGAGGTAAATCCAAGTATATTAGTCATGCTCTCAGCAGGGGTGGAATCCTGGCTACTAGACAGTGCTGTTTGTTTTCATTTGAGTCCAAAAGCTTACCACAGAAGGGCTCAGGTTTCTGTGCACTTTTTATTGTGCAAATTAGATTGTGCAGCTAATTAAATTGGTGGAACCTGAAGCTCCAAGACCAATTGGCATAAGCGTTTGACTTCCCTGTCATCCCATGATATTAAACAACAAAACTGAAAATGTAATTTGAGAGCATAATTATTATGACTTAAAGTGTTTTTCCTTTGCTTTCCTTTGCTTTTTCCTTCTTGCTTTTCCTTTGCTTTTGAAACTCAACCACACATAGCCTATAAGAATATAAATTGTGCAACAGCACAGCTGGAAGCTGAAAGCCCCTCATGAGCCTTTGCTTGATTTTGGTAACACATTTAAAATAGTATCAGAAATAAGAAAATGAAATGTCAGAAAAGTTATTGGTAGACATACAGTGCGACCGTTTTGCTGAATAAAAGGCCGTTGGTTCTGAGATGCTGTCCCTGAGCCCTCCCCCCCCCCGCCCCCCACTAAGCACCTTCAAAGTTAATTCTATATTAGGAAGCACATGTAAAGGGGCTGGTGTAGAATTTCTTCCTGGAAAACAGAAAGCAATTGCTGTCCTCCTGTCAGAGTGTTTTGGATCTAGTTATGCATCACCTGTCCAAAAGATCTCCCAACAAGCTAGTGTTCTTGGAGTAAGTTTGGGCTATTCTAGTTCTGGAGTATTCATTGTTCAGTCAGTATAAGCAGTTGCGGGGGCTGGGGGGAGTTTGTCCTCTTGGATTGAGACCAGAAATTGATGAGAGCTTGCATGTGTTTAATAATTTGCCACCAGTACTTTCCTTTTTATTAATGCCTTTTTAGACAAGGAAGAGAAAACCCTGATGTTGATTCTTTGTATTTTGGGAATATCTTGTAAAGTAATTTTATTTATCTATTTCTATTTTCCAATTTATTTCCTGCCTTTTTCCTACAAAGGGCTCAAGGCAGCTTACATCATTCTCCTCCTCCATCTTATCCCCACAACAACAACCCTGTGAGGTAGTTTGGGCTGAGAGTCTGGCCCAAAGTCACCCAGTTGGCTCCATGGCTGAACCCAGATCGTCTGAGTCCCAGTCCCATGCTCTTAACCACTACACAGCACTGGCTCTAAGTTGAATTTAAAATAGAACAGTTTGCTGAAGAGAGAAAGAGAGAATGTGAGTGATTAGCCTACACACAGAACTAAGTGTAACGATTATTTTATTGTAAACAAACAGGGCATTTGGTGCTCTGTGTTAGAGAATGAACTGCCACCCACAAATCTCTAGACCATTTAAATTGGTTTGTCAGTATGACTAACATTGGTCCACTTTAGCTCTGAATCAGTTGTTGTGAGATGCCACTTAAAGCCTTTCTCTTGTTTTCTTTACAGCTTCCACTCGCTTTGTAAAATGTGAAAAGTGCCACCACTTCTTTGTGGTGTTGTCAGAAGCAGACTCCAAAAAGAGCATCGTTAAAGAACCGGAGTCCGCGGCCGAGGCTGTGAAGTTGGCCTTCCAACAGAAGCCGCCACCTCCACCAAAAAAAGTACCATCTCTTAATCTGCTTGGCTTCTGCTGCTTTGAGAGGGAAGGGACAGCCACGTAGCATACACTTTGCATGACGACGTTTCCTACCTCTCTCCCCAGTCTTCCCAGCCAGGGCAGGAAAATCTTCCTGAAGCCACTGCTAGTTAATTTCAACAGTATTTGGCTAGACAAGCCAAGGCGCTTACTCGGTCTAAGGCAGCCTCCTGTGTTTTGTGTGGCCCCATTGTGCATAACTTTTAATGTTACAATATAAATTATAGTTTGCAAGCTGGAAGATTAAAGGAGAATTCCTGTTTTGATACTCTGTTTCCTCAGCCCCCAGCAGAATTCTATTTCATAGGTTTTATTTGTCCCCTCCAGTTTGTCCAAAGGCTAGGAAGGGAAACTTTTAGAACGCACCTCTAGCAAAAGTTCATGCAGGCGCAGTGCACACAAATGGGTCCTTAAATCCCTAATTTGTGAGCTCCTCTGAACAAGGGGCGAAATCGTAAGAGGTTTCTGCCCTAAAGGCAAGACGGGGGTTGTGGGACGACTTTTTGATAGAGGCTCACCTGCAGATCCCTGCAGTGAGGCCTGAGCCATGGATTCTTCCATCATCTCACTAGAATAGAGCTTTAATTGGTCACCTGCATTGACAAAGCGCCTCTGATACTGAGGATCTGTTGACTTTCTCTTTGCCAGATCTATAACTACCTCGACAAGTATGTTGTAGGCCAGTGTTTTGCCAAGAAGGTGCTTTCAGTTGCTGTGTACAATCACTATAAGAGAATCTACAACAATATCCCTGCCAATCTGAGACAACAAGCTGAAGTTGAAAAGCAAACCTCCTTAACGCCGAGAGGTTTGTGTATCTTTTTATATTTTCTGTGCGGATTCCCTGGCATTGTCACACTTGTGGTTTCCTCATAGGATCCTGGTGGAAGTGTCAGTTCAACAGTATGGGTTCCACTGTAATTATAGCATTCATTGCTGGTTAGTCTACCAGAAGAACAGAGCATTGGCACCAAAATTGATTTCCTAGTTTTTGCCTGAATTTTTGCATGAGCACAGTTGTGCTTTAACAGCATAATATATATTTCCTTTGTTCCTTGAAAGCATTTTTCTCTGTCCACCTGGAAAGGAGCCCAGGAAAGTTTACATATCATTGACAAAACAAGATAGTCAACGCAAAATGAAGAAATGATGGGGAGGGAACTGGAAAAAGCAAGCCCTGGCAACAGTTCTTAAAGTCAAATTATTGTTCTTTGAGGTCTCTGGGACTCACACATAAGGGTTATTCATCTGTGCAAGGTAGTCATTCAGAACAGAGCTTTAGGTGAGAACCTTGCCCATTTCCCCAGTGCATGCTCCAGGCTTGGTTCTTGCTTGCCTCTCAGTTTTTTTTCTCATTTACTAGAACACTCACAGCATTTAGAAAGTTCTTTTGCTGAAATCACTGTTGAAATCGGCAAAAAACAAAAACAACCCCCCCACACCTCTTTCTGTCCCCTTCTGGGACACTGAACAGGGTTTCCCCCCCTTTTCTTTCCTCCCTATATCCTCTGAGGTTTTCCTCTCTTTCTGCCCTTTAGGGGCATGGGATCGCCAAGTCTTTCTTCAAAAAATGCACCTGCTGGAGTGGGAAGGGACCATCTACCACCAGAGAAGAGTGTAAGGAGGATTCATGCCCCACTACCAGGCTCTTACTAAAGCAGGCCCCAAAAGGCAGAGCAACACACCTTCAGGCACGGCCACGTTGAACAGGCCCCTGCATGTCACTTTGGGGCCACCTCCAAAGTGCAAGAAACCACCCCCAGCTGCTTCTCAGTTTTTCACAGCTTGTACACCATGGAAAGACGCTCACATTACCACTGTCCAGAATCCTCTGTGAAGGTACAGGTCACCTCGGTACCAGCGGCCCCCTCAGGCTCTATTAGCATCCCCCAGAAGTTTCCTCTGCCCTCAACGGAATATGCTGCAGAGCTGTCAGTGTTACAGAGTTCCTTCTTACTGCAAAGGCCATTCAGGTTCTAGATGGCATCATTATGAACACAGGGAGACCAGCTACCCATGTACTATCCTCCCTGGCAGTGCTTTTCTTCCCTGCACCGCTTGGAGTAAGCACACTGCACAATGCCCTCTCATTCAGTAGCTCAGCCACTTGGGGCTCAGTTACCTAAGTCTAGGATGGTACCAGATCTCACAAGTTTGCCCCCACTCTCTGTCTTCCTCTTTTGTCCAACTTCTCCCAGGACACCATCCTGAGAAGGCTGCTGAAATCAGACTAACAACTAACCAACTAACAACCCTTTCAGGCCTGTGTTCAAAGAATCCCTTTGGCAGCCAACAAACTCCGTGCTCCTGCAAATTAGGTGGGATGCACATCTTCTGCAGTCTCAAGCACTTAAAAGCCTGGGGAGCTGGGTGGAAAAGGTGGAAGACGCTTGAGAGCTGTCAGGTGCACACTTCAGACTGGAGGATCTCACAGCAAAGGGGCTGATGTAGCCACCAGCCCTCTCCGCAAGCAGAAGGTGTTGCGCCATGGCACTCGGGCACTTCGGAGGACTGTCACTGGAAGACATTGCAAAAAGGGTGCAAAGGGGGAAATTACTGTTTCGTTTTATTTCTGCGCTGCCCCACAGCTGGAGCTGCCTGGGCAGCTTACGACAGCTGTGGTGGTACCCAAAAAGGGGTTGTGAGTGGGGAGAAGAGGCAAGGTGCTTTCGGCCTGCTAGAGGACCAAGGGGAATGGAGTGAGGGACAACCCCTGGCGCCAGATGCGAGCTCCTGTACTTTGTCAGGAAATGCAAGGCTATTGACCAGGCAAGACTTTGGTCTTGCCTAGTTGGAGTTACGTACTTAAGCATCTTCCACAACTCCGTAATGCACCAGTGCAGGCTCGACCATCCACATTAACTAGGCACTGTCACCTGGATATCAGAGGAACCCACCCAGAGCATGCACAGAGGATGTAGGGGGAGCTTATATCAAAAACTCTGGCTCTAGAATGTCCCACAAGTCTGTGCAGGCACATAACCCATATGTGTGAGTTTGCAGATGACCATTCGAAGAACAGTTACAGGTAAGCAACTTGTCCTTCTGAGAAGACCAGCTGGGATTCAAAGAGTTTGAGAAAAGGAGCCCAACAAAACAGATCTTTCTGCAAAACTAATGGAACAACTCCGCTTCCCCTCTCCCTCTCCCAAATTCTAATAGAGATACTCATTTCCAGATACTTCTGTCTCTTTGAAAATCTGGCTTTACTTAAATACTGCCTACCTCAGTGTTCAGTAGACAGAAACCAAAAGGTGGAATTCTTTTTGGCAGCGTGCTGGAGGAAATTACCTTAATGTAAGGCATCTTTGAATCCAAATGTTAAATGTGTATCCATGCATTTTTATTGCCTTTGGCTATGGGTTATAACAAAGTACCTACACAAAAACCAAGGGCGCAGTCACTAGCAGGACACCGTTACTCTTACTAGCAAGTAAATGCAGACCAATAAAACCATCTGTTCAACCACAAGGAAAGACGAACAATAACTCAGTGTTATGCATGAAACAAATTGAAAGCGTTAACCCTCTGGTGATAGGATTGGTGGCTATATTTCAGTGTCAGTGCAAATAAACCCTAGTTTTTAAAAGTGTGATTTGTGATAATAAATCTAACTCGCTGTTAAAATTTATTCAGGATTCTTACTGTAGTACCGGAATGCTGCCCTTGATTGTAGCTGAGGCCTGTAAGGACCCCAGTATTAACATTTCTGTGCAGTCTTGCACACCCCGTTACATTCCTGGGGCTTCCTCGTCACATGGCAAGCTGTTTTCAAAGCTGAATTGGAGCAGTTGCATTATGATTCAGCCAGAAAGTACCAAATATTCTCGTGGTTCCTGATATGTATGTATGTATGTATGTATGGAATTTATAGGCCATCCATTACTGTCATCTCTGGATGGCTTACAATATATTATAAATCCTAAACAAAATAAATTAGCTACACCGCGACTGAGTATAAAATGACATGGTTAAAATAAATGAATGAATATACAGTTAAAATTAATTAACTTTAAAATATTGGTCAAATAAAAAGGTCTTGACCTGGTGCGAAAAGCATATAATGACGATGCCAGGCAGACTTCTCTAGGGAGGTCCATTTAATAATGTTCAATGTCAGCAAAGGTTGTGCCAAGTGAAGAAATGCCTGTAGTAGAAAAGAGCACCATTCCCTTGGATTCTGAAACAGGATTAAATGGGTGCTCCTACAAATGATCTGACACATGGGTGTGGCTTTTTAGGGGGGGTTCTTTATTGATTATATCCCAAGGTGGCTTACAGAAAATTCTCAATTTCATCCATACCCCTGTGAGGTAGGTTAAGCTACGAGTCAGTGACTGGTCCAGCACCACCAAGGGAGCTTCACAGTCAGGTGGGGACTAGATCCCAAGTCCAGTCTTGTGACCACCTGACCGCATGCACTTCCACAGTTCAGTGTCCAAGGCTACAGTCAATCCTGGGAGCGTGGCCCTTTGAACCCTGGGACTGTTCTCCTGAATTGGCATGTATCGTATCGTCCAAAATGTAGGGTTTTTGTCGCATTAGCTTTTCTTATTCAGTATCAACTTTAAAAGTATAAATGCTTCTCTTATTCTTTGACCTACTTATTTTAATACAAGCTTCTATTCCTTTGCTTTTCGTGAAAAGGTCAGACCAATGGGGGAGGCTTTTTAAATTACGCTGATGTGGCTTTTCTCTCATCAGAAGAGAAGCCTATTTTTCTGTAAACCTGTATTCAGAAGAGGGCAAGAGGGGAAGAAAATGCAATGGTTTTTAATCTCTATATTGTATTGCTGTTTTCATCCTCTCTCTTAGAATTAGAAATAAGAAGACGGGAGGATGAGTACAGATTTACAAGTAAGTGATCTCTCCTCGTGTCCTCCTCTGTAATATCCTTTTTTCTGCATTGTAGCTGTATGAGGATCAGTTCAGTCTGCATCCATTTTGTACATAGCCCCTTGGGCCTGGATCTCACTGAAGTGGTAAACTTGCTGCTGAAAGTTGGACTGTGACAGGATGCCCCCTTCAGGGGAAAGATTCCCACACATAGAAAACTGCCAAGTGAGATGCCCGGACTGGGACCCTTCCCCTTGGCATACAGTTTTCTGAGTGTGAGGAAATTTTGTGGGGGCAGAAGAGCATTTCTTCACATGAGACCCAGACTCCAGACACAGGTTACCACTTCAGTGAGAATTAGCTCTCCCTTTGCTTGGGAGTGTCATGTGCCCAGAATTTGGTCCCGTGTCTACAGTAGGTGGAAGGAGGATAGCATGCTGATTCAGATCTCCAGTTGTAAATGAAAGCTTGTACTTTCTGTAGATCTGTTTATGATCGATCTGAATGTACATCCCACAAGCTTTACGTCTGCTGGGATCCAAATTGCCCTTTTCTATGCATGTCTGAAGTGTTTCTACCGGGAGATTCCCTGCCCGTTGGATGCCACTACAGGCCCCCAGCTTATGAGGTGCTAGAGTTTGGAAAGACCTTGAGCAGCCATCCCTAGCCTTTGGAATGATTTTCATTTATTTTTAATGAAAGCTTAAAGCTCAGTAGAGTAAAACATCTGCTGTGTGCAGTGTAAAAAATTACTTAAGTTGGCATTACAAAAGAAGCAAGTAAGAGGTCTCTAAGAAGATTATTTTCCTTTCTTGCTGGCCATGAAAGTAAAGGAATGGAGAAAAGTTCTTGCTAGTAACTTTCTGTTTCTTCTGGTTAATTGCTTCCAGAATTAGGACCCTAATTGTTTCACTAATATTAATTAAGCAACACTTTAAAATGTTTGGCTGTTATTGTGTAACCAAGCATTTCTAATTACCTTCAGAATAATTATTTAGACCTGTTTTGTAACACAGAAAAATGATTGTGGAAATTGAAGTTTCTCACTCCTCAGTTGAAATAAATCTTCCTGAGTTTATTTCAAAATATTTGTTGGAACGTGACAGGCTGTATGCAGCACGGTCGTCCTCAAATACTCTGATCTCATTCATCTTCCTCACAGGTGAAACGATACTTGAAGCCGCAATTTAAAAAATCTGTTAATCTGTTCATTTCCTGCAGGCTGTCTCAAACCATTGTAAGTTGAGTTAATTAGGATCTCAAGTTGGAACTTTTTGTACATTTCAGAACTTCTCCAGATCGCCGGCATTAGTCCCCATGGCAATGCTTTAGGCGCATCAATGCAGCAGCAGGTGAATCAACAGATGCCCCAGGAGAAGCGAGGAGGTGAAGTACTTGATTCGACTCACGATGACATCAAGCTTGAGAAAAGCAATATTTTGCTGCTTGGGCCAACTGGTTCAGGTGAGTGGGACATGTTTCCCCTCGTGTAAAGTTCAGGTGGACTTTTAAGGAAGTGTCGCTTAAAGTGTCAATGAAATAAGGAAGGATGGAGTAGAGGTGTATGAAATGACACACGGTGTGGAGAGAATAGGTAGGAAGACATGTTTCTCCCTCTTCCATAATGCCAGAACACAGGGTCCTACTATTAAGCTGATCGCTGGGAGATTTGGGACAAATAAAACGAAGGAATTCTTCACCCAGCACATAGTTAAAACTATAGAATTCAATTCCACAAGATGTTGTAAAGCCCACCAGTTTGGGTCAAGGGCTGCTTGACCTAATGGTTATATGCTTCCTCCCAGATCAGGGCAGTAGAAGGCTTTCTTGTGAGCAACTGGTTGGCCACTGAACATACTACTGAATTAGATGGACCCTAAAGTGATTGTGTTTGTGCAAACTGGTGCAAGAATGCAGGATCTAAAAATGGTAACGGCACATCCTTTAAATGGGTCCAAGTGCCTTGGGCAAGGTAGCTAGTTTCCAAGTTGACCGAGATCTCTCTTTCGGCAAGAATACAGAGTGCAGTTATCATCTCTGCCTCACACAGAATTCTGCACAACTCTGTTGCTACTGTTACCCGAACAATTCTTCCCATTTCAGCAATGTTTCGATCCCCTCTGTCTCCATAACCAAGGAAAACTGCAGAAGTTTGTCCCAAATGCATCTTGCTGGTCCTGTCTGCATTCTGAGTAACAACTACCATTAGAGAGGGACTTGGTGTTTTCAGTACAGTGTTCTTTCAGTTCTGTAATGAATCTGCACCATCTCTTTTTAAAGCTTTCCATCTGAACACATTGTGTTCCTAGACCAAAATAGAATCTGCTTCTCTAAGAGCTGATAATGGATTACATAGAGTGAAGCCTGTGAGGCCTGTAATACGAGGAACTAACCTGTTTCCAGTTAATCGTAAATGAGCAGGTCATGGCCGGCTAGTGAGAGAGGCGGGATGCCAGAGCATCGTGAGAGCTGAAAAGCAAATGTGCTAGCCTCTTGTTCCCACGTGCCCCTTTGTGTGTGTGCAAGTCTGTCTTGTAAACCGGGTGCTATAATGCCTTAAACTACTTTTCAAGCCGAATGCAAGCCAGCATTGTATCACACCCTTTATATCAGCCAGAAAATGGTGGTGGTCACGTTCTTTATCCTGGCATGCCTCCTTTGGGCTACCAGCATTATTTGAAAATTTAACCATAGGCTTGGAGTAGTTTATGAAAAAATGTAACGAGTGCAGTTTGAAATGTGTGCAGCTACTGGATGCTCTTCAGAGGGCTGGGCTGGGCCGGGCAGGAGTTGCAGTCCGGAGCAGCGAGAGGGCATAAGTTAGAAAAGGTTGGAGCGGCAGCGTTTCTTACGTGCCTTGCTAGTTTATAATAAAAATCAGTGGGTGAAGAAGTGTTCACATGCCAGATTCCCAGAACTTCTCCATGTGCTGGAGTTTTTTCTCTTGGTACAAAAGCAGAACACATTGGTACTACTTCTCTGGTAAAAATAAAGTGTATTTTAAAAGCCAGCTCTGTGATTTCTTACTAACAGCTTTTTCTAAACTAAAATGTAGGCAAAACCTTGCTGGCTCAGACGCTGGCTAAATGCCTGGATGTCCCTTTTGCAATCTGCGATTGTACCACTTTGACTCAAGCCGGCTACGTGGGCGAAGATATCGAGTCTGTCATTGCAAAACTACTGCAGGATGCGAACTACAATGTAGAAAAAGCTCAGCAAGGTAACTGAGGCCGTTCCAGCAGCCCGCTTCCACAAATGCAACTGAACAAAGCAGGCTTTCACTCTTCTGGATGCCTAATTGCTTTGGAAGCCTCTGTTCGTATCCTGGAACACAGCCTGGCAGTCTTGTTAATTTGTTTGGCCTGTTCTTTCCTACCTGATTTATGAAATTGCCAACATTGCATAATACAGTCGCAACAGCGAGTTCCGTTTTATAAGATGTGGCCTTTGCTTGTGTACAGATCGTACTTCTCGCACAATCCAAATGTTCCTCTTATCAATTGCCTCTAATTCACAGGAATCGTTTTTTTGGATGAGGTGGACAAGATTGGCAGTGTGCCGGGCATTCATCAGTTGCGAGATGTGGGAGGCGAAGGTGTTCAGCAAGTAAGTATTTTTTCACAGTGTCTCATTTTTATGAAGCACTCTCAGAAATGCAGTTGTCGATGCTGCCCCAGTTTACTCGCGATGACATAAATTCCCGTTGATCGCTCAGAGCCACACAGGAACAAGGGAGCCTGTTCCCTCCTGCCTCCCCACTCTCCACATCTTCATCTGGTTTGGAAAACAGCCCAGAGATTAAAATGAATGTGGGAAAGAGGATGTAGCTGCTGTACCGAAACCCTGTGATGGAAATTCTGCCCTGTTAGAGTCTTAGTGGAACATGGCTAAAACCCCCAAAGCACACGACCCACCGCTACTTTTGCTTCACGGATTTCCCGTGCAGCTTCTTGCACCTCTTCCTGGGAGCCTCATGACTCGGTCCTGCATCTCCCAGGGCTCGCAGGAGTTCCCTGTCACACCGAATCTGGCAGCCTGCACTGCCCCTCGTTCTCATTCGCTCAGCTGGTGCTCCCTCCTTCCTATCTTTGCCCGCCTCTTATGCCCACTCACCCCTCGCTTGCGCGCGCACACACACACACACGCACACACACCGTGTGGCATTGGTGCCACCTTTGTGTCCAAGCTTCCTTTCTGCCGGCCTCACCTGTGCATGCCTCTTTGCGCACACAGAGCCCTTCTTTGCTTGGCTTTCTTGAGAGGCTCCGGAATGGCGCGCCTCCCAAGTCGCTTCGTTGACCTCAATGCAGTGTGACCTGACCACAGACACCAGCAATGTTTCTCAGGCTCCGGCCTGCAAAGAAGCCTCAGTTAATACTGTGCACAGAGGAAATCCAAATACAATGATACCTCTGCTCACAAATGCCTCAGTGACCAAATCGGGTCACGGGCAAAATTTCATAAAAAATTTGACTCGGGTCGCAAGCACCGCATTGGATGGCAACCGGGATTGCAGCCATCTCCCCACCCCACCCCCGAGTAGGGAGATGGCCACGGTTGTGCCCCTCTTTCCTGCACGAGCACGCCCGTGATTGCACCCGTCTTTCCTGCACGCGCGCAACCATCTCCCCCTGAGCGAACCTGTGTTCGAGCCCGTCTCTCCCCCCGCCCCCCCCAGCATGCTGGGATGGCAGGCATGTGCAGGGATGACGGGTGTGATTGTGCTCATGCAGGGGAGAGGAGATGGCCATGCTCGGGGTGGGGTTGGGGGGAGATGGCCGCGATCTTTGTTGTTCTTTGTCACTTTGCTTCCATTTTTTGTGACTAGAAAAAAATAGTTACAGAATGGATTAATCTTATTTACACTGAACCTTATGGGGAAATTTAACTTGGCTCACAACCAATTTGGGTCACGACCAGAGTCCTGGAACGGATGTAGTTCATGAGCCAAGGTACCACTGTATTAAAAGCTTCCGGATTCTTCCCTGGTTTGAATTAAAATCTGAAGCAAGAGAGTCCCGCATGGGAGTGGAGGCTTTTACCACCAGTCCTTTTTTTCAGGAGCAGTTATTCACCGCAGCCCCTTTGGCAAAGAAGGGCAGTAAAGTTTCCCTTGCTTGGCCTAGAGGGTTGAATGGAAAAGCCCCCACCAGAAAAACTGGGGGTGGGGGGGACAAGAGCCACCCTTGCAAGGACCCTGACCCTTGGTTGGCTCAGGCACTGATTGGGGTTCTTCCTGGTTGTGGCAAGGCTACATCCTGGGTAATTTCTTAGTTTGTTCAAAGTGAACTGGGAAAGGCTTACGCACCTGTAGTCCTCCAATTATCTCTGAGATTCCTGTGGATTTTGGTACAACTTCATTTTCAAATAATGATGCAGCTGCTTTGCTGCGTTGCACCGAGCGCAAGGAAGCACCAGGAATGTGCAGTGAGCTGGCTTGCCTTGAAAAGGACATTGTGGAGCTGGGGAAGGTGCAGAGAGTACAGCCAAAGTGACCAAGGGCCTGGAGCAGCTCCCCTGTGAGGAAGGCTCACAAGGCTCAGGTCCCTTGCCTTAGGAGGGAAAAGGTGATCTGTGGGCCGGCAAGATAACGGTGTAACAAAACTGCACATGACTTGAAGGAAGTGGATAGGGAGGGTGGATTAAACAGGTCTTTGGTCTTCCACTCTAAAGGGTGGAAGCATTACTCACCCACCTTCCGCTTTCCCATAGGGTTTGTTAAAGTTACTGGAAGGTACAATCGTGAACGTTCCGGAAAAGAATTCCCGCAAGTTACGTGGTGAGACCGTGCAAGTTGATACCACCAACATCCTCTTTGTAGCCTCTGGTGCTTTTAACGGTCTCGATAGAATCATCAGCCGGAGGAAAAACGAAAAGGTAAGGGAACAGGAGACTCGGCAGCACATTTTAGCTGCATGGGGTGCGTTTGGTTTTAGCTGCTGCCAAATCCTTCAGCAAAGGAGCAGGGTGAATGTGCCGTGAGATACTCGAGAAGAGAGCTGTGAGTGGTATTATTGCCTGTGGCAGTCCCGGGGTGGGAGGCATTGCCTCTTGTTCGACTGAATGGCTGCCTACCTCTCGCTGAGGCCGTTTCCTCAGAGGAGCACTACTCCTCGTACCAGGAGGAGCCCCAAAACTTCAGCCACTGCTGTTTCCCTTATATGAGCCAAATAGGGTAGTGATTTTGCCCAGGGTGGAACTCGGACTGCCAGGCCTTGGGCCTGCAGTGGCTGTAGTGTTGGATTCCAGTAGTGTCGGTGGAAGTGAGAGTAAGACATGATACATGCCATTCCGCATAGTTCACCGTTCTGCGCCGTTTGCCTAAAAAGCCAGTCTAAACAAATTGGAATGGATGCGTGACGAATCATACTTTGCAGCTTTAAAATGGATTTGGGGTGACAAGCTGGTCAAGAATTCCACCATGGACTGGTGTGCCGTAAATCCCATGCAGTGCTGTGTTTATATAAAGCAAAAACTCAAATGTGAGCTCCTCCTCAAATGCAAGATGTTTTGTCTTGTAGTATCTTGGCTTTGGAACGCCATCAAATCTGGGTAAAGGCAGAAGAGCGGCTGCGGCTGCAGACCTGGCTAATTTGGGCGGAGAGTCCAGCACACAGCAAGACATGGAAGAAAAAGACCGTTTGCTACGGCATGTTGAAGCGAGAGATCTTATTGAGTTTGGCATGATCCCCGAGTTTGTGGGGCGCTTGCCAGTGGTGGTTCCCCTGCACAGCCTTGACGAGAAGACCCTTGTACGGATCCTCACTGAGCCCCGGAATGCTGTGATTCCCCAGTACCAAGCACTATTCAGCATGGACAAGGTTTGGAAGCTGTTCTTCCATTTTTGCACTCTAGCATCCATTTCCAAGAGAACAGGACTCTCACGCAGCCTTGTTAAACAGCAGATCAATTCTTAATGCTAGTTGTAAAATGAGTATCTTTTAAAAGGTGCTTATGACCAGCACTTTCCTCAACATCCAAAGGATTTGTTAGAAGTCCTTCGCAGTTGCCTGAAAGTAGCAGAAATCTCCATGGGGGAAAAGCAGATGTTAGAAAGTTGACTATCTGGCGAAGTGTAATTTTGCCTTCTGTCTTCCAGTGTGAACTGAGTGTTACTGCAGATGCTCTAAAGGCAATAGCCAGGCTGGCTTTAGATCGCAAGACTGGTGCTAGAGGTCTTCGCTCCATAATGGTAAGGGTTGGGTCTTTCCTCACTGTTACGGATCACAGAGGATTTGGTACATAACAATTCCACTTGCTGCACTGGGGATACATGAAGGCTGGCACAAGAGGTTTTAAAATTGGATCACCAATAATTGGGCAACATGGTTTTAAAAAAAACCCTCATACAGCAGGAAGAACATTTCCAAACTAGCTCGCTCCCTGATGTACTTTTCTTCTGGGGAACTTTTTCTGACAAAGGAACGTCTCACCAGTCTGAAGTTCTAAAGTCTCCAAGAGGTTGTCAGACTCTTAACTAGTCTGAAGTAGTAAAGTCCCACAGAGGTTGTGGCACGTGATATCTAAAGAAAACAGAGCAGAGCAGAACAAAGCCTAATGGAATAACAAAGGTGGGGCAAGATTCATGTGTAACCTAAAATATAGAGAAGCAAGGCTTTGCACAAGAAATGTCTTGAAAGCAAGGCTAGCCTTTGATGTAGGATGCATAGCTGTATCATGGAAATGGAGTAGATTCCAAACTCCTGAGTAGATTTTATATTCTTAATTTTATATTGTTATTTTTGTATTTTATTGTATTTTGTGTTGTGAGCCGCCCCGAGGCTTCGGCAAGGGGCGGCATAGAAATGTTTTAATAAATAAATAATAAAATAAATAAATTATAAAGCTTATTAGATTGGGTTTAAACACAGGAGTAGTTTTCATGTACCTTCTACGATGAGGTATGTTCTGGACCAGAAATTGTATGGATTTGGCTGACTAATCACCCTCCCCCCTTATTAGGAGAAGTTATTACTGGAGCCAATGTTTGAAGTGCCCAATTCTGACATTGTATGCGTGGAGGTTGACAAAGAGGTTGTGGAAGGAAAAAAAGAGCCAGGATATGTCAGGTAATGTTGGGTTTCCAGGACTACATTGAATCCGTTGCAGAAGTAGACAGTGTTTTTTTCATTTAGGATCTTTTGACAATGTTCTTTTAGATAATTTTTTACTGCCTGGTTCCATTTTATACCTGCCTCTCACAGTAGATGAATACTGAACATTTAATGCAGAATCTGTATTCAGACTAGTAAAGATTAACATGTTTATATTTTCATAATTAAGTGTTCTGTGTTACACTCTCTGTCATGAAAATGTCCTTTTCAACAGTATCTTTCTTACAAATATTTGTATTTGTTTGATACCATCCACCAAGGTTGCTTCTGGTGTGAACCAGTTGGAAGTTGCACAGTAATAGTTTGTTTCTGTAGGAAGAAATGTCCTGGTCATGTTTGTTTTTTTAAGAGGTATTGGTGTGTTTGCTTCTGGAACAGGCTGGAGGACTGTATTGCTGCAGTCGAAAAGGGAATTCATTGGTACACCTGAAGCAGAAGAAATCTTACCTAAAGCGCTTTGTCAAAGAGTGCAAGTAGCACTGCAAAACAAAGCAGTGGATCTTGAAAAAGCAGCATAGCTTTATTTCCATGAGTGAATACCCTTTATATGGAGAGCTGGACTATCGCAGGTCATCCAGTCATTCTTCAGGGACCGAGCCCACTTTCCATATTCGTTTTCTCAGCTAACAGTTACACAAAATGAAGACTTCTAAGTAGGCTTTTCTTTATTTCACTGAATTTAAAATGCAAATTTACAGAAATTTGGGGTGCAAAATTCCAATAAATCTTAAATCTCAACTGCCAGATAGGAGTGCTTTGGATAATACATTTCTGTTATCAGACTGTTCTATTCCTAAGTATCCAGAGCAAAACAACACAATCATAAAATCACATCATATAATTGGAGAGTTTAAGAACCAAGATGATATGGCAGTTGGTGTCAGAAATTGCTAACAAAAGCTTGTTGTTGTGAGCCTAAGTACCTGTTTCAGTGCAAGTGCAACTGTCTGCAAGAATCCATTCCATGGTTAAAATTCAACATTTATGACTTTTCCTTTCTCAAATGACTGTCTCTTTTGTTCACTACTTAAAATATTTGACCCTATTTTCATTTACTCCTAGAGCTCCAAGGAAAGAATCTTCTGAAGAAGAGTATGACTCAGGAGTAGAAGAGGAAAGCTGGGCTCGCCAGGCAGATGCTGCAAACCATTAAAACCTGTCGGAATGTTCTGCAGAAAATGCACTTAAAAGTTTTCGTTTTTATTTTTTGAGACCACACCTGGATTTGCAGCCTACTAATAATAATTGGATCTCTCCTGAAGATGATACATGATCAGAAAATGTTGACAACACTAATGAAAATCAGATCATGTATTTCTTGTAACATCATATTGATTTGTGCAGTGGACACTTGGACTTCAATGATATAATGTTCAAAAAATTAATTGTATATTACATTTTGCTCAGTTAAAAAAACATTTTTGTTGCATAAATACTTTCTCCCTGCAAAATTCCCACTTTGGCTCTCCTGGGGAGGAGATTTTCTGGGCATTCTTTCTCCACTGGGCATGCCGCACAGATGAGGCCCAGACCTGTGCGTGCATGAACGGCAGCGGGTCACCCCTCGGCCATACCCAGCGCTTGGACACCTGCAGCAGTGCTCCACTGTGAGTCAGTTGCCCTTCTTCCTAGTAACAGTGACTTCGTCGTGCAGTCAGAGCAATCTGGCCACATGAGAACAGTCTCTCGGAACCAACAAAGCTAGTTGGGAGGGAGGGCGTTGTTCTCATGGCAAAAATCTGATTGGCTGTTCCTGTTACTAGGATCAAGGTGTTCTGCTTTTCCAACAAAAATGGTAAAGTAGTATGAAAAAGTAAGATTTTTAGAATGTTTAGGGCAACACTGCCCCCCCTTGCAATGAAATATGTACTGAACATTTTTCAGTTCAACCTTAGCCTTTTCAGTTCTAGAATGCAATGCAGTATTTGCCAATAGTTAAGAAATTTTACAGTAATTATACTTTACAAATTGGGTATGGAAACTAACATACATAAAAATAAAGATAAGCTGTTTTGAATATATTTCTCTCCTTTGGTTTGGAGATCATTCAGTATTTGTTAAATATTTTCTTCTGCTTGAAATGCAGTGGGTGCTAGAGGTAATTGTTACATTTATTATGGAAACTGCTCTTCAAAAAACTGGATATCAGAGGCTTAAAACAAGGACTGTACAAGGACTGGTCCATGTAAACGTGGTAATTATTTCAAGCCAGTGCGATTGCTCTAAATAGGCTGTGGAGGGCAACCATATTTTAGGGCATCTTGCACCAATTACTAAGCAACATAATGCAGTGCATTAAATAATTGGATGTAATACCAAAGGTTTCATTAATATTTAGTTACATTAATTAAATACCGTAAGTTGGTTTTGAGAACTTGGGTATTAGAACAGGTGAACCAGGAACTTGCTGCACCTTTCTTTGGAGGAATAAAGGTTTACAGGCAGAAAAAGACCATAGAATATTTAAAATTCTATGCCAATATTTTAATATAGTACATTTTATTGAACGTGCTGGAACCATCATGCATCAATTTTTTGGTGCCAGATATTTTTCCCAGCCTACTTTCTTATAACATTAAGAACAAGAAAGTCACGTATAATTGTATAATATTTTTCATGTAAGCAGTAGTCACTGTTTCACAAAATTCTTATTTAAGTTATAAGCTTAAAATGCTAGTCCTGCATCTTTTTAATTTTAAATCTTTTTAGCAAAGCAAAGAGCGCTTTGTTTTAGAGTTAACTTGATCCTTTCATAAAGTATTTGTAAAAACCCAAAAGGACTTGTATGTTTTTGATTCACTTCAGATTAAAATATATACCTACAAACATGGTGATTTTCCTTTACGATGTGTCTTATGTGTTGCAGGATTCCTGTTAAACATTAGTTTGAGCAGGTTTGGTTTTAAACTAGCAACATGGCCACAGTGAGGAGGGAACGTATATAGAGCTGTGCCAATTGATTCTTTCTAGGGCTTTCCTTGCCCTTTTTCTTAGCGTGAAATTGTGGATTGCTAGGTAGTGGAAGCAGCTCTGAACCAAGTAATACCTTCCAATTTGTTGGAAATTCAAGAATGGCTCCCCGTGACAGGGCAGCTATTCCCCACTGATGTAGTTAAGTCCATGTAGTTAAGAGCTGAAGCGGAACTGAGACGGCACTCTCCAGTGCCGTATCAGAACTGAGTGGCATGTTCACTAACAAAATTTTCAGCCTAATTATAGCTGAGCACAATTTCAGCTTGGAAGCTGTGTGTCTTCTGCTGTGGTGGAAACTGGTGACAGGGTGAGGGTTGGGGAATTTAAAAAGCCTTCTACTGGAACTGAAAGGGCAATGTCATCCTAGCTAACTCTGCCAACCATGTTGTTTCATAATAGACCAGCTACTTTGATCCAGAAATCAAAATGGGAGCTTGCTTGAAACCGTAGGGACTAGTGTAAAACAGGCCTGCTGGTGCACATTCTAATGCAAATGTAGTTCATTTTTGCAGGTTGAAGAGAGCTGTAGCTGCGAAGAAATGCCAGGCATTCACTCAAGGTAAGCCTGAGAGTGGGTCACAACAACCCTGCAATGCAGTTCTTTATTCATATTGCTGGTTAAATGTGAGATTGAAATTCTTTGGCTTTACCATAAGTTACATCAAGCCAGTTGATATAATTGGTGCTATTCGTTACCAGGCCAGGTTTAAGATGCTGGCACTGTATAAAGTCCTAAACAAGCTGGGGCCAGGAGACGAGAGAGAGCACCCTCTCCCTTGCCAACCTGACCTGGTACCGAGGTTTCTAGCTGGCTTCTCCCTTGTTATTACAGGAGGAAATTCCTAAACTAACCAGCCACAGCTGAGTTGTTTTTAACGCAGTGTTGTATTTGTGGGTTTTTATTGGACATTGCAATGAAATCTTCATACTGGGACAGGGAGCACTATATAAATGGTGTAGATAAAAAAAAAATGAATTCCCCTCTCAATCCCCTTCCCAGGCCAAATTCAGTATTCAGTTCTATGCAGCAGCTTTTCCCTTTTTTGTTCCATTCACTTACATTCAGCTACACTTTATTAAAGCCTTTCACAACTATATATTTTTATTAAGTACCCAAGCGCAAGCTTTCCTGCTTCCCAGAAATATGCCTCTCTCCAGCTTAATCAGCTCAGAATACAGTGCTGTACATGTCTAGCTAGACAGCTCGGAAAAGAGCAGATACACAGCCTGTCCTGTCCTACACAAGCCTTCCCCCTAACCCGGTGCCCTGCAGATGGACTACACCTTCCTGTGCCCCTTGATGGAGCAGAATGCTAGGAGTCGTACTATCACACATCCGAAGGGTGCCAGGCTAGGGAAAGCCTGCCTAGCAAGGCTTCTGACCAGATGCTGATGCTGCCGTAGCTTCACTTCCTTCTCCAGCCCGCTTCGCTTTAGCCTCCGGCCTGACGAAGAATTCTGCAGAACTCGAAAGCTTGCTCGCTTGGCTCTGCCCAAGGCGTGGCCTCGCAGCTCGCCCCGCGGCCTGCAGGCGGGGGTTCCCCCCGCGCAGGAGGGGGCGCCGCGCCTCCCCCCACTTCCTTTCCCAGCCGGAAGCCGCCTGAGGCGAGCGGGGCTGTGCGCGCGACTAGGCCTCGGCGCCCGGCCATGTCGCAGCCGCCGCCGCCGTTCGCCTCGCGCTTCGCGGGGCCGCCTCAGCTCCGCGGCTTCCCGGCAACCGGCGGCCCTCCCCCGGGGCTCTTCCGCGGGCCGCCCCCGCCGCAGGCGTTTTCTCCCCCCTCGTTTCCGCCGTTTTCGGGCGGCGGCGGCGCCGGCCTGCCGTCGCCCGCTTACCCGCCGCCGCGGCATCCGTTCCCGCCGCCCCTGCCCTGGCCGCAGCAGTCGCTCCCGCCGCCGGAGGGGCCCTCGCCGCCGTGGCGGCCCGACGCCTCGCCCCTGCTCGCGGGCGGCCGGCCCAGGCTCAGGCCCGCGCTTGGGCCCGAAGCGGCGGGGCCCCCGGACAGCCTCAGCAGGGCGGGCCGCGACGGCGGCGGCGAGGACGGCGGCGGCGAGCAGTGGCTGAGCCGCTTCCTGGCGCGCCG